TAATAATTAAATATTTATTTAAAAAAGAAATTATTGATATTATCGAAAATTTGAAAGAAATTTGTAAATAAATGTAACAGAACATTTTTTGACTAAAACTTTTTCCTTTAATTTTCTAAAAAAATTTTAAATTTCAGTCGCATTTTACTAAAAAAAAAATCTCGAAATACAAAAAAGTCACAAAAAAGCCCTGAATTTAAACAAATTTTTTTCGTTGCTTAATGCTGTGTTCGACAGAATTCAACTTCGGTCAAATGCTTTAGAGTATTTCAAGAGAAACGCTTTAGAGCATTTGAAGATTCTTCAAAGCACACTCTGTTAAAAATTGGACTCCAACTTTACACCAAAAAGATAGAATCGATGTTGTTTAAATCCCGCAAAGTGATGTGAATGCTTGCATTTCATTGATTTAAACATTTTAGTCAATCCAACCAAATGATAGTATTCACACTTTCTGATATTGAAACAATATAATTTTCAATCTTTAGGTGCAAAGTTGGTGTCCGATTTTTAACAGTGCATTTGGAGAAAAATACTCTACAGCATATGCAAAGAAGAAAGAAAAAAGAACAATAGGAAGAAGAATAACAAGAAGTAAGAAGAAACACAAAAATTTACAGAATCAAATACTTGAAAATCAGAATATCCTCTTTCCACAATGAAGATACATATAATCAGATTCCAAGAATCATCAACTAGAGATTATTCTATAGTTACATCCGGAGTCTAGTTATTCTCCAATTATAACTGATAATATTGCAAGTTGATCTGTAACAAGAAAAGCATGGAAATTCCACTCTGTTACGTGCTCATAGACTCGATTACTTTACCAGGCATGACATATCGTATCGTATTAAGTGGATTCGTTTGATAAACCGCTATTGCAGAGGACGTTAAGTTAATCAGTACTGACGACAGTGACCGAGTTTCCATTGGCTGATAAATTCTCTGCATATAAAGCTACGCGAGAAAAAAGGAGATTAGGGTTAAATGAAATTTACCGGGGTTACATTTTTTTCACTGAGAGAGAGAGAGAAAACTTTCCTCTTTTTGCAGTCAAATTGTTTCCTAAATTCTTCGAACGTTCAATTGAATTATGTTTGCTGTTTAAATGTGACGCGATCTGAGAAAGAATGTCTTAACGTCGAAAACTATTATTCGGGGTTTTTATAGATGAAAATGCCACTAATTTCACTTCGATTATTCACCTAGGGGAATAATAGCGTCGAATAGTTAGCGTCGACGCCAACTTCAGGAACTTTATTTTTTATTTAGAAACTTTTTTTTATCGTCTGTACTGTAGCATCAAAAATTATTATTCAGGGGTTTTAGAGATGAAAATCATTAATTTCACTTCTCTTTTTCCCTAGGGGGTTAAAAATAAATTCAAAGCACTTTTTCAACCCAAAAAAAAATTTAAAAATTTTTTTTATTCTTTCAATTTTAGATCGACGATTCGAAAGAAAACGAACTATAGTCTAAAACAAATATCCAATATCCGTGTGATTAAATTAAATTAAATTTCAATAATAATGAAAGTATAATGCGAAATTCATTATAATTCCTCAAGATTAATGCTAAATATGGAATAATTTCAGAAGTGTGCTCAGAACGGAAAATCATTTGCACCTGATCGTTAAGCGTGAGAAATATACTTCAAGTATATTAATTACATACAATTAAGGAAGAAGATGCTTACACTTATCTATCAACACTCCATTGCCCGACTTAATAGATTTATTGTTTTAACGGTAAAAATAAACAACCTGTCTTCAGTATAATGAAACAAAAAAAAATATATAGACAAATTACACTCTATTTCAAAATAAAATATTACTGAATTTTAATTATCATATTATGTGGAACGGAACATAATTTTTTTCTGTTCTCAAAGTTTTAAAGTTCAAATGAAATTAAATTATATATTTTCATTTAAATATTAATATTATTAATTATTTTATTTATTATAAATTATTCACCAAAAATCAATGTCAGAAATTAAACATTTTGAATCTATAAATTATTTTTGAATACGTGACCCAATATTTTAATAATAAAATTCGAACTTGAAAAACAATAAAAATTCCTTCATTTAAACATTAAAAAATACGGAAGCAATTTAGGTATTAATGTTCCGAATTTACGACCAATTTACATTGTTTTGTAAATTGTTAATAAATATTGTTGAAATAACAGTATTTTATTAATATTCTCTGGCAAACGTACCATTTTTATCGAATAATCGAATGTTAAACAAAGCTATCGGAGTTGTATGAATAAAAACACAGGATGTGTTTCAGATAACAAAACTTGACTGTGAACTACAATATATGAATAGCTGACCATTCTAGGAAAATTATTTTCTAAACAATTAAAATGCAAATGTGTATTAATTTTGCAATGGGAATTTAACTGTACAAGTTAAATTTTTATTTTCTAGTGTAAACATTCATAAACGTTTTCAATTCCAATATTTTTAATTTTTAAAAAACTTTTCTCAAAGTTTATATTTCTAAAATTAGAAATAAATGCAATAGGATGACAAATTATTGACGTAAAGCACACCATTGCTTTTATCTCTCAAACGCCATATATGCATTTTTTGTCAATATTTACAAAACCCTGGATAAGATTTGCTTTTTATAGAATAAAATGATGGTAGTATAAATATAAATTCATAAATTGAAAAAAAGTTTTAATAATTAAAAGAAATCTTAATAATTAATAAACAGCCTTAATAATTAAAAATGCGAAATTTACACCCAGAGAAAAATTTCATTTAATATAATTTATTTGAGTTAAATAAATGTATATTTGTCTCAGATTATAGTAAATTATTTATGTTTCTATACATTTTTGGAAATAAAATTGTTTTGAAAAATTTTATTTGGTATTAAAATTTTCAAAAATGCAAAACTAAACTAATTCGAGAAATTCAAATGAAATTATACTGAAAATAATTAAAGTTCAAGAAATTTTATTACAATTTTCCCATTAACTGAATTACTCAGAAGAATTTCATAAGAATTTTTTTTAAATATTAAATTCCTTCGAATTATATTAAAATTTGTGAGAATAATTGAACAACTCCGAGGAATTTTATTAAAATCTGTAAAAATAATTGAATTTTTTCTCCATTAAAATTTTATTGGAAATAATTGAATTCCTGCGAAAAATTTTATTATTTATTAAAAAGAATTGAATTCTCGCGAAAAATTGCATTAAAAGTTTTGAAAAAAGGAAATTAGAATTATTATTTCTAGTTAACAAGTGAATTTTTTCAATTTTGAATCTGAAATTATTAAAAAACTGAAGTTTATATTTAAGAGAATAAAGAAATTTGTAATTTAAATAATAATAATAAATAAAATACAAATTATAAGTAACAAAATTATCATCATTTCATTTGAACATTCGAAACTTCAGAAACATTTTTTTTCTGAGTGTAAAATCGGAAATTTTAATGGGAAATGCAATGCTTTTTTTCAAGTTATTTCTCCATAAACATTTAATTCCAATAATTATCTTTACTGCAATTTAAAAACCTTTTTTTTTTTGGCAAATAACTGACAAAAATGTTGTAATAAAGGAAAATACTACCTTCACAAGGAAGCAAAATGCGGTTTTTCTTTTCCCTTCACTAAAGAAAAATGTTATGAATTTCAACGTCGCAGTTTTAATGTAACTTTCACATGAGTTTGTGGTCACATTTTACGACTTTTTTTTGCAAGGTGCATTTGGCATACAGTGGGCTATACCCGAAACTTCAGAATAAAGAGCCTTTATTTTCGCTTGGAAGTTATGATTGCAAAAAAAACATTCTTTTTTTTATGACCCCCCTGAGGCTCTCAACGTTCATATAAACAAAAAAATATATATATTCATAATTTTAAATGAAATTTACTTTCATACACTATTTTTGCAACTAAAAATTTGAAAATAAAAACTATCCAAAAAGAAATACTTAAAAAGGTAATAAATACCGAAATAGTAAAAAAAATTAGAAGAAGTAAAAGAAAACTATAAAAAGTAAAAAAAATAAAAATATAAGTAAAAAAATATTAAAGTACTCATAAACTTCTATTTTCGTTTCCCCTTTTTTCTTAAGTACTCTAACAATAGCTTCTAATCGCAAATGCTTTTAAATGAAAGATACAAGCAATTGTTTGTTTGAAAAAAAGAATAAAAATTTCTTATCAAGTAAAATGATTAAATACGCCTGAAGTTGGAAAATTCATAGAGAACAATTCGAGTAGAATTGAATAGAATCGTTTAACGTAATTCAGAGATTATTGAACAATCGGAATACTTTTAGTGTTTAATATTGTTCGATTCTCAAAACGAGAAAAAAAAATTAACAGAATAAATTACAATACTCCGATTGTTTATAAAATTGCAGTACTATTGCAAAGATTGCCCTTCCGACAATATTTCCGAAATGACAAATTTTTTTGACGAAATGTCAATACTGCTATACGATTCTAATTATCATTTTGAGTTGAGTATTTAATAAAATGAAAAGAGTACTTGAATGTAATGAATAACATAAAAAAAGAAACTTAATGACAGTTTATCACATATCTTGTTACAAAACAAATTAAATAACATTGTTTACAAACTTTCGGGTAGATTTTTTCTTCCGGTGTTTGTAAGAGTACTCATATTATATTTTAACTTCACATGAAAAGAAGATTGACATTTATGTTTTAGAAGTTGAAACAATGAAACACAAGAGAATAAGAGACAAAAGAAAGTAAGTATTTTCCCTTTCCTCCTATTGCTAAAGTTGTTAAAATGATAATGAGTTCCTTCATTTGACTCTATATGGGCGTGTTAACGTCTTTGTATATTAAACAGTTTGAAACAACTCGCGGCATATAGTAGCGCAGCACACAGGTAAGAAAAAAAGTCAAATCTCTGATCCAGCCGATAAGAATAGGGATAAAAAAGACCTTGAATCGAAAAAAGAGGTATATATAATAAAAAAAGAATAAACTCACCTGCGATGACGGTGTCTTGGAGGTCATATTTGGAAGCGCCGGTTTTGCCAATTTTCGGAAAATCCTTTAGCTTGCGACCGCTTAATTTTAATTCACCACTGAGATGTGCTTCCTCCAGGATTCTCTCCAAACTCCTGGTTAGTTGTTTTTGAATGTGGCAACTCATATTTGTCGTGACCATCGCCATATTACATTTTTCAAGCACCAAAAAGAAGAGACACGCGAGACCGCGAAAACTTTTTACCACCCCAACAGCTCTCTTTTTACGGACGAAGAACCCTCATTTTGCGATAAAAGCGCCAGCGCACTATACTGTCTTTTGCATCATGACTGATGCTACTTGCACGACTCTCACAAAATGATGTATATACACATACACAATACAAAAAAAACTATACTATATTGCCATACTAGTACTCACCAGTACTGTAGTCAACTGTGCACTGTTGTGTTGTGGTGCGACGCCACATGCTCGACATCTGTAAACAAAAAGTGGAACCTCGTTAGTTCAATTTTCTGCCGCAAGTTTTGGCGCGAAAATTCAAACCGTTCAAAACGAATTCTATAAACAAATTTTTTTCTAAGATGATTATTTAATTTATTTAAAGCAAAAGCTTATTATTAACAAAAAAAATTAAAAAAAGAACTAAATGTTTTTATAATTATTAGCTAAATTCTAATAATAGTAATAACATACAAATTAAATAAAAATAGAAAACAATTATACAATATGACGCGCTCCGAAGAAAGGTAACCAAACAGCAAAAAATTTGAGGTTATGTTTATCATTTTTAAAGTAAAAATATAGAAAGAAAATCAATTATTATTAAAAAATTATTGAACATTCAGCTTTCGTTTGCTCTAAAATATTCAAAACAATCTTTTTTTTAAATTTAAGTAATTAAAAAAAATTGTACTCAAGAATATTTGGTGAGGTAATAAGAAATATTTATTTAACAATTATTTTTCTTTAATTAAAATCTATAACGAAGTATGAAAGTATTTACAGTTCACTAAATTCGCTTTCAATTATGCGAAAAATCATCAAGTGAATGAAACTTGTTCATTAATTTGACAATCATCATTTTTTCTGTCATTCATTCAAAATTTAATTTATATTAGTTTTTATTTTAAAAAAACTTCTTATAAGAGAATTCGTGAAAATTCAGTCATTTTTTTACATCAGACCTCGGATCGACTCACAAAAATTTCATTTTGTACTTTTCTGTCACTTCACTGATTTTTAAATTCAACAATTTAAAAATTAAATAATTTTGTTATGAAAAAATTCAAATACTTATTTGTTTTTCTACAGGTATTTCAATTTTTTAAATTTCAATTTCGAATATTCTGAAATTGAATGATTTGTAAATGTTAAAACTGCAATCCTTTCAAAATTTAATTTTCAAGAATTTTTAAGTAAACTTCTTCTCTAAATCGCTTATTTTTTAATAATCTCCCGAAAGTTTCTCGAGAATTTAAAATTAACATAATTATAATAAAAAAAAGTTCTTAAATTTAGTTTCTAATAATATTTCTAAATAATTTTTTAATGATAATAGATGTTTTAATTTTTTACTATTAATTGAAAGATTCCCAAATAATTGAAATTAAATAAAACTTTTTAACAATAATTGAAATTTAAAAAAAAAATTTTTTGAGACGATTAAAAAAATAATCAAGTTTTTGAAGAATTTTAATTGCAAATATTAAAATTAGATCATTTTTTCAAAATTCATCGAAATTGAGTTTCTTAAAAAAATTGACCAATTTAAAAAATTAATCAATTTTTTAAAGAATTTCTATAAAAATTTTGAAAAAAAATTGTAATAAAGTTTTCGTTTATCTTATTATTTAAAATAATTGTTTTCTTCAAAATTTTAATAATAATTCTAAGACAATTTTTATGTAATATTATTTTTTGTTTATTTGAATTTTCGGAAATTTAATATTGAAAATATGGAAATTAATTGAATTTTAAAAAATTATAATGAAAAAATTCAAACAATTATTTTCTCAAAAAGCTAATTTTCATTTTAATTTTTTATTAAAACTTTCAGAAATCCAATTATTTTAAAAATTTGCAAATAAAAATTTTCAAAAATTGATTCTCGAATAGGTATTTTAACAAAATACTTAAAAAAAACAATTATTTTCAATCAAATTTTACAAAATTTCAATTATTTAAAAACTAGTTAATTCCATATTTCGAAAAATTAATTATTTTGGAAAAATTAATTGAAAATAAATTGAATATTTGACTAGTTATTTTTTACCAAAAAAAATCGAAATACATAATTTGTATTTTACACCAAAAAATGGTATTTTGTTTGCAATATTCAGAAGAAAAGTCGAAGAAGTCGCCTTTTTTTGAGAATAGTCGTAAGAATCGAAAAAATCGAACAATCCGAAGCCTGTTTACTAATAAACAATTACTCACATCTCACATTAATTCTTTTTCTTTTGCTGTTGAGGATTCATTAAATCCTGATATTCTTTGATGAGTTTTTCTTGTATTTCAGGCAAACACGGGGAATATCTCGAATATTCCATAGAAAATTCTCCTTTGCCTTGTGTCATCGACCGCAATTCACCAGCGAATCCAAACATTTCATTTAGTGGAACTTCCGCTCTCATTGTGAACCAGTTTTCACTTCCATCACTTCCCAAAATTAAACCTTTTTTCTTGTTAATCATACCCATGATGGTTCCCTAAAAATGAAAAATTGAAAACAAATTAAAAAAACAAACAAATTAAAAAGAAAAAATAATGTATTTTGATAGATAAATAAATAAATAAATAAAACGAATTTTTCTAACCTGGAATTCATCTGGACTTGTGATTTCTACTAACATAATAGGTTCCAAAATTATCCATGTCCCGTTATCAAAGACATCCCTTACAGCACCTTGACCTGCGTGGTAGAAGGCCAATTCGGATGAATCGACGCAATGATTCGCACCATCCTGAAGTCGAAACATAACTCCAGCTACTCGATTGCCACTGAGGATTCCCTTCTCACAGACGTTCAAATATCCTCTCTTTACACCAGGCACAAATTGTTTTGGTACATTTGTTCCAACTGTCTCATCACGGAACTCAAGAACCGTATTTTTATTAGGTGGAAGAGGCTGAAACGAAAATAAAAAATTAAAACTAAAACCCCATTGACACAATGACTGTTAAATCGCCAAATAAATAAAGTTTAAATTTAGTAAGAAAATTTCTATCATTTAATTCAATTTGTTATCACTAACCTCCATAACACCAATAACCCGACCGAATTGTCCAGCTCCTCCGCTCTGCTTTTTATGTAAATAATCAAATTCACAAGGAGAAAGTAATGTCTCACGAAAGGCGACTTTCGGTTTACCAAGTGTCACCGGACAATTGTATTCACGTTCCATTCGTTGGGCGTATATTTCCAAATGCAATTCTCCCATTCCGGATATTAAACTTTCCTAAAACGTAATTATAAAATAATAATATAAAAATAATTTTGCTTAAAAATTTTTTTTTTTCTTATAATTCCGTCAATGTAGATTACTATATTTTAATTTAAGTAAGATAACTCACTTTATTGTCAGTGTCATAAGTGAAACGTAACGTAGGATCTTCTTTGGTAAATCTGGCAATAGCTTTAGCAAAATTATCACGATCCTTTGAATTTTTCGGATGAATGGACATGGAGATGACAGCGTCCGGTACGTAGATTGACTCCATAGAAAGTTGTAATTTTGAATTATTAACGAAAGTATCACCCGAAGCACAATCAACTCCAAACAAAGCGAAAATATCGCCAGCGTAAACTTCAGTCACATCTTCCATTTGATTTGAATGAAGACGAACCAATCGCACGATACGAACCTGTGAATAATTTTATACTGAAATTAACGCACTCAGGTGTCGAAATTAATTAATTAATCGAATTAATTCGAATCACTGAAACTATGTACTATTTTTATCTGAACAAAAAAAATGTTTAGGTTGATAAACAAAATTTATTCCTCTACAATTACGTTAACCAAATTCACGCTGAAATTACATTAACAAAATTTATGGTTAATTACCTTTTTGTTTGTTCTTGTATTAATAATATTGTCTCCTTTCTTCAAAACTCCCTGGTAGCATCGGAAGTACGTCAATTGACCGAACTTGCCGAGTTCCAACTTGAAAGCCAAACCGATGAAAGGATTTGCATCATTTCGTGCCGGATTCATCAGGATCTTTGTTGGTTCTTTTCTAATATAGAAATAATATTGTTTGAAACTGTTAATTATTTTAATTTTTTAAATTATCTCCAAAAAGAATTGTAATTATTTTTCAAGACCCTATTTTTTATGAGGCTGAAGTCAGCAACGTTTTTAAAAACGAAAACGAAAAAATATTGCAACTATTTATATTATGTTTGCTTCAAATTCATATTATTTTTGAGCAATTGTGATTTAAGTAACAATTAGATTCTTTAAAATCGAAGCTCATGAAAATTAGAGATGAATTTAACTTAAAAACAATTTCGTTTCTGATTTTTTGTTTTTAAAAACGTTGCGGAGATCAGACTCAATTTTTTTTGGAATTTCTACATTAAATCATTAAAAACTTAAATAATTTTTGTTAAAATAATATTTAAAAACTTATTTATTTTCATTGAAATTTCAAATAATTTCAATGCAAAACCTTTTGAAATTTAATTACTTAGCTAAAAATTACAACTGCAATTTTCCAAATAGTCAATTATTTTCTAGAATTTTTGAACAAAATTATTCAAATAACTTTAATAATTTTGAAAGAAAAAAATAATTTTTTTAAATACTTTTACGACGATTAAAATTTTATGAAGATTTTAATTTAAAATCCTTGTAGATTTTCATTGTCTCTTAAAATTTCTGTTATAACGCTTCAAATATTCAATTATTTTTAAAAATGTTATTCATTTTTAAATCAATTCTTATTAGAATTCAACGAAAATTGAATTATTTAAATACAAATTTTTTGTAAAATTTAATTATTTTCCAAATTTTTAGTTACAATTCTTCAAAAAAATACAATAATATTAAAAATAATTTCTTAAAGTGAGATAATAAAATTCTTTGAAATACAAAATTCATTTTTATAAAATTTGAGAAAATTTTCTATTTTTTCAATTTTTTAAAATTATTTTCGGAAATTCAACTATTTTCAAAAAACTTTAATTTAAATTTTTTTAAACATTTTTTCAGAATTTCTATAAATAAAATTTTTCAAAATTTGAATTAAAATTTCAAAATACTTTCAATGTATAATAAAACCTTTTGAAATTTAATTATTTTTAAAAATTAGAATTGCAATTCTTCCAATTCTTCAAATATTTTCTAAAATGTTAACTGAAATTCTTTGTCAAATCAATTCTTATCAAAAAGTTGTAACACAAGAATTTAATTATTTAAATACAAAAGTGATCAAATAATTCATTATTTCTAAAAATTGCAACTGTAACTCTATTTATGGATTTTTTTTAATTTGACTATTTAAGACTTTCAATAATTTGATATTTTCTTTAATGCTGAGGATAAATTAAAATTTCCCTACTTTACTGTTTTGTGAAAATTCTGTTATTGTAAAAATTCTAGAGGAATTAATTTCACTAAAACATTAATTACTCTATTTACAAATTAATTGTCAAACTTTTGATATGAAAATTTGAGCTTTAAAACAATTTGAAATCAAAAAGCCCTGACTTCACGTGAGGATAGAATATCTCGATTATTATTATATAACACTTACCCTTCTGTTTCCTTAATTGCAAAATTTGAAACTTCACCAGGATTTGGTAAATAATCAAGAGCGGCGTCCAAAAGTGGTTGTACCCCTTTGTTCTTCAATGCCGTGCCAACCAGAACTGGTACAAATGTTCGTTTTATACAAGTTCGTCGAATTGCAGCCATTATGTCCTTTTCGGTCATGGGCGTTTCATTAATGAACATATCGCCCAGTGTTTCGTCAACATTCGTCAAGTGTTCAATTAATTCCTGCCTTCTATCGACGACCTCTGTTAATTTAAAAAAATATTAATAAACAAACAAACTAATAGAATTATTTAACAAATGAGATCACTGAAATTAGCGTCGACACTCAGAGTCAAAAAGTACTTTCTGGGCTTTTTAGTGATTAAAATGATACTAATTTTACCATTTTCATTCATCTGGAGAATTGCAATTCTGAAACTATCCATTTTAACTCAAAATCTTGGAAAAAATTATCAATTTTCTCAATTTCCGCAAAAAGGAAATTTTGTTTTGACGCTTAAAGTCGATGCTAAATTCAGAGACGTGGCAAATGAGTAAAAATGGACGTAATGATGGAAAATAAAAGAAAAATCGTAAACACTTGCCTGCTCTCATATTTTGTGGAACTTCGTCCTGTCTAATAGTCTCTCCATAATCTCCATCGAAATAGAGCGCTTTCTGATGAATCAAGTCAATAATACCTTGAGTTTCACTTTCCTTTCCTATTGGCAACTGAATAAAAGCTGCATTGTGCTGCATTTTCGTTCTCATTTGCTCGAGAACTCTATAAGCATTTCCACCCATTCGATCCAGTTTATTGATAAATGCCATAAATGGAACGTCATATCTTTTCAATTGACGATTGACAGTCAGTGTTTGTGATTGAACACCTCCAACGGCGCAAAGAACGAGAATTGCTCCATCCAAAACACGTAGAGCTCTTTCCACCTCGACTGTGAAATCAACGTGTCCTGGCGTGTCGATTATATTAATATTGTGATCCTTCCAAATTGTATAAGTTGCCGCCGATTGAATGGTTATTCCTCGTTGTCTCTCCAATTCCATACTGTCCATTACTGCTCCTACATTATCTCTACCACGCACCTAAAATTTTTTTACAATTACAAAATTAATTTTTGCTAAATAAAAGTTCAATTTTAATTTTCTTTTCTACAAAAATTTTATTTTTCCCTGATTACCAGACAAAATTTTTTACTTTTTCCCTTTCCTGTTAAAAATCTTTAAAATATTTTACCTCGTGCATCTCGGCAATTCTTCCCGTATAAAATAGAATTCTTTCAGTAAGAGTTGTTTTACCGGAATCAATGTGAGCTGATATACCAATATTTCGTATGTTTTCTATTGCTTTGTGTTCTGCGAATTTGTCGTGCGATGCCATGTAACGAACATTGTTCTGAAAATAAAATAACTCAACGTCTTTTAAAAAATCATTTTAAAGTCTAGGTACAAATTAATTTTTCAGTAGATTTACAATCTTGTTATGGAATTTTATAGAAACTTGTAAAATTACATCTTTGAAATCAACAAATTTTAATTGCCTTTTATGAAATTTATATTTTCAATTAAAACTGTGTCAAATTCACAACTTTTTACATAAAAAACTATTAAATACAGAACAATTTGCAGTATAGTGACAGAATAATAAAACTTGAAAAAAATTGTTATCCATAAAAGAAATTATACAAAACATTTTATAAACAATAACTGGCAATATAAGTTCATAAAAACTATAAATCATATTAGTTAATCAATGCGAAATTATTGCAGAATTTTTCTATAAATGTTATAAATTAAGATTTCGAAAAGGAGGAACATAACCTAAAAACTTTCTTACCTGAAAAACGCAAGGATGCAATTTTGACAATCTTCTAGGATTGACATAATGTCGAATAGCCGTTATAAACGTCATGATGGTAACTTTTGATTGATTAATAAACTAATTGTTTAATATTTACATAAATAAATTAATTACTCCGGTGACACACGCCATGCAACCAAAGCAGAACACAAAATTTCGGCCCTCTGGTGGCATTCTCTCCGCATTACAAAATCATAAATCCAGCCAATGAAATTTTAGGCGCCAATTTCAATACTTTTCAATTAAAAATAATATTTGTGTTGTAAACTTTGTAAAATAAAGCCTGCAAGATAAAAATAAAAAATAGTTAAATAAAATTATCCTACTTATTAAAATTAAAACAAATAATACGAAATTAAAATAATAAAAATCTCCACTTACAACATAATATTCGTTACCAAAAGACACTCCATTACTTTCAATTGATTTATTATTCTTGCTACAAAAAACAACTCTTATCAAAATTAAAAAAAAAATCAAGTTAAATATTTAATCATATTCCGTAAGAGAAGAATTACATGCACTCTAATTTATAATTGTGTATATATTCTCAATGAAAAATTAATTAATTAATCGAAACAAAATCGAATTATTACTGTGCAAAAGTCAGAAGTAAAATATTATTATGCAACTTTCAAAACAAATTTGATATTAAGATTGCGTATTTTGCAAAAAAATTTACGAGTTTTTATAATAATGAATACTCATAAATAATGTTATTGTTGTTATTATAGCGTACAATTTTTTATGCGGTTCGTTGAATTAAATGAATTCCACTATCTGTATTAACGGCTTGAGAAAGTTCGCCAACTTTAAGTGCAAAAGCTGCTTGTTCAAATGGTTTTTGCATTGCACCTCGTCCAAAAGGTCCAAGGTCGCCTCCCCGTTTCGCTGAACTGCAGTCACTGTATTTTGTTGCGAGATCGGAAAATGTTACTTTTCCCGACACAAGCTGCTCTCTATAAGCTAAAATCATTTTTTTCTACATTAAAATCAGTAAAAAAAATTTAATTCTTATGATAATAATCAAATAATAAAAATCAGTAAAAAAAATTAATTCTTATGAGAATAATCAAATAACCTAAAATATTGTTTTTAAATTGTTTCAATTGTATTCTATAGAGTTTAATATAATGGTTAATAATAGATAATAGTAAATAGCTAATAGTAAATAATTAATAGATAATAGTAAATAGTTAATAATAAATTATTAATAGTTAATAGTAAATAGCTAATAATAAATAATTAATAGCTAATAATATATAATTAATAGTTTAAAATAGTATAATAGTTACAGTTGATTAGTTCTAAAGCTTCGGCTTTAGACCTGGTGATTTTTTCTTCTCTCCAGGACGAAGGTCTCCGAGAACCCGAATGTTTGACTAAAAGGTGAGAACATTGAACTTCATCAGGGCCACTGTCGGTACCATTTCCGGATTGTTCCGCAGGTTTATCAGGTCTATCCCACTGACTTTCTTTTGTATGTGTATTTAAATAGTAATGTTGTCCTGATACATTAAACAAAACAATATTAATAATTACATGTTTTTAACATAACCATATCAATTGAACATTCTTGAACATTTATCACACTTCATTAAACATTAATATTTAAATTTTTAATATTAATCAATAAGTTCATAATTTACTACTTTACAAAACAGTAAAAAATTCATTTGGTCAGACAATTTTATCAACAAACAATTGTTTATAAATTTATTTTATCCTAATAACGATTAATGCGTCAAAAATAAACACCTTTGGACTCGTGAATTCTGTGTGAAATGTCTATGGAATGTCCATGAAATGTCAATATGACAGAAGATGTAAAAATTCTCTATCTTAAAGGTTAAGTTAACAAGGCAAATAAACAATGATATTTAAGAAAAAAAATAGATTTTGTTTGTATATAATGAACAGTTAAGTATATAGTTGTACAAGAGAAATTTTGGCTTATATATATATATATGCGAAAAACACACCGGTAGATCTGCTGAGTCGTTTCTCCCATCCGGCAGGTAATTCTTCGTCAGACATTATTAATAAAATTGGATTTTTTTCAATAAAAAGGAAGAGTTAAAATTATGTACTTAAGTTAAAAAAAAAATTGTAACAAACAATTCCACGCCTTTTAAACTTAAGAATACCCATACAAGGCAGCTGTAAACGTCGGTAACCTATAATTTGACCGCAGATTACGTATGATATAGATGGTGAAACGGGTAATGAAATTACTGCGTCGGTAATTTATTACCGACCTGCCCACTAGGCAGGAAAGCGGGATTTTCAAATTTTGTAAACATTAATCAAATTGTAAACAAATTGTACATAATGTACAATTGTAAACAGAAACTTGAATATTAATAAAATAATAATTCGGAGAAGTTTTTTAGTGTTATTTGAAGAGTATAAAGAATCATCTTTTCATCAAAATTTCGCTTTTTAAATACAAATTGAAACAAAATATTTTTAAGTGGATAAAACTATTTATAACAAGACTTGTTTAAGTAGAAACAGTAATTTTGATCAACCATAACTAATTTACAAACTGTCAAAGGGTAAACAACTGTTTTGACAAGGAACTTTAAATTCGTACAGTTTTTAACCTATAAAGTTTTTAATTAACCTAATTAACTATAACTGAGGCAAGAATATTTTTTATTTACAAATTAGTGAACAAGAAAATAAAAGAATTAGTGACATAATGTCATATAAGAAAATTGAGAAATAAGGAAAGAGAGAAGAAATATAAAATGACATAAATTAACATGTCTGGTTCTTAAATTAAAATTTGTTTGATTCCTTAGAACAATAGGAATATCTTCAAATTACAGAATGACAGTTGTACTTTAGTGATGACATCATTTACTTAATTTCCCCTTGCACATTTTAATACTTCCCTTTTAATGAGTGATATTATTTTTTGCTTTGTTTTCTGTATTTTTATTCATGCCCTACACTGCCTTACAGTTTCGGCATTAAACTCATCGCGGAAAGTTATCGAAACATTTAATAAAATACTTAATAAACTATGAATTCTTATCAAAATTCATGGTGCTACTTAATCTTTTTTTTAATTCTTTTTAATCATTTAAAATGTAGGGGTGAGTTAAATCGCTTAAATTAAATTACACTCATTACTGTGAATTATTAAATTATTAATTAATAATTAATTGACGAATTAATTATTAATTGATTATATTAAATCAAATTGTTATTAATTGTTAAATTATTAATTAATAATACCAAATTAAATTTTTGGGAAAGTAGAAAATTGAACGGTGTAAATTATTATTAAATTAAATTAATTATCATCAATTTATTGAATTATTAATTAATAATACCAAATTCAATTTTTGGGGAAGTAGAAAATTGAACGAGTAAATAATTATTAAATTAAATTAATTATTAGCAATTTATTGAATTATTATTAATTACTAATTAAATTATTAATAATAATTTAATTATTAAATTAAATTTTTCGTTGAAGTAGAATTTTGTGCGAGCGAAATTCTTTCAGTGCAAAAAACAATTCTTTCCAAGTAAATTTCACTCGAAAAGAGTAAATCTTTATTTCGAATAATCGAGTATTTGCGAAGAAAGGTAGTTATTTTCAAAAGTAAGATGTAAGTGTCATAAAGAGATGATTGATAGTGACTCGTGTGGACAAAAAATTGATTCAATTTCCCGCAAAGTTTACTTGAAAACCAAAGAGAAAAAAGAATCAAATCCTGCGTGGATGGCGCAAACTCTTTTTCAAACAGCATCCCCATCAGTTGCATGTCAGCAATTGTAACGTTCGCTTTATCCGCGAGTAATTGTTTTAATAAAGTAACTTTCATAAATTCTTTTTTAAATTGTGATTTCAAATTTTTAATATAATAATAAATAATATTAGCGAAAAATAATTTCATTTTTCCACTAATTACGAAGCTATTTTAACGAATTTTTTTTTATCGTAGTAATAGTGAAGAAATGTTTCTTCAATTGTGAATTTAATAGAATTAAATAACAATTCGAAAGCTAAATAACAATTTAAAAATTAAATTAAATTAATAATTTAAAAAATAAACGACAATTCGAAAATTGAATAACAATTTAAAATTAATAATAACAATTCAAAAATTAAATAATAATTCAAGAATTAAATGACGATATAAAAATTAAATAACAATTAAGAAATTAAATGACAATTGAATAGAAATCAAATAATAAAATTATCGCTACACTGAGAAAAAATGTATTTAATTTCAATAATCGACTGTTACCAAACAAATATTTACTCTGAAGCAAATAATTTTTATTTAAACCAAATTAAGTGTCTTCGAACCAATTTATTGCAAATATTGCTATGAAAATAAAAAAATAGTTAAAATAATTCAATAGAAAATAAATTTAATAGCAAAATATTGTTTAAATTTTTAATAAAAATTACTTGACAATAAATATTTATTTTCTAATAGTCTAGAATTAAAAAATACACTTTTCAGTGTATTAAGAATAAAAAGAATAGAAAAATAGATAATTATGTGCCATATTATTCAAATGTTCCTCTTCTTTGGCGGTAAGTTCCATAAAGAATGGAATTAAATATTGTCAATTACGAAAAAAATGAAATTATTTTATTCTAATCTGGAATATTTTTCTAAATTAATAGAAGACATTTTTAAAGAAATAAATTTTTTTCCACCAGGTGTGCTAGCCTTAAAGGATTTGAAACTAATGGTACCTGGAACCGTCCGATCGGGAGATGCCGTTTGGTTAACGTGTGATTATGATCTTCAGGGAAAATTACTTTACACAGTAAAATGGTACTTGAACGACGCCGAATTTTATCGTTATTCGCCAAAACGAAATCCTCCTGGACTTGCTTTATCTGTGAAGGATATAAAAGTTAACGTAAATAAAAATAGAGAAGTATTTTTAATTTCATCTATTTTAGAAAGATCTTTACATTATTAGAAAAAAAAAAAAATAATAAAATGGAAATAATTGAATTCTTCCGAAGAATTTTATTGAAATTTCTAAAAATCCCAATTTAATTCTTTTTGAAGACTATCTTGGATTTTTTTTAAATAATGGAGTTTTTTCAATAATTTCAAATGAAAATTTTGAAAGTATTTGAATTTTATGAAGTTTATTTTATGAACCCTTTCAAGTTTTTAAAATACATAATCGTGTTTGTTAATAATTGAAATTAAACATTTAATTATTCGATTTTATTAAAATTTTTAGAAAATAATTAAATTCTCTCAGAATTTTATTACAATTCTTGAAAATAATTGAATTCTTTCTTTTCCTTCAAATACTATTAAAGGTTTTGACAATAATTGAATTCTCTCTTAAAGAAATTTTTTGAATATAATCGATTTTTTAATAATTGAAATTAAACATTTAATTATTGAATTTTATTAAAATTTTTAAAAAATTAAATTCTTTTAAAAAATTTTATTAGAGTTTTTGTGAATAATTAAATTCTTTCAGAATTTTATTACATTTCTTGAAAATAATTGAATTCTTTCTTTTAGAAGGTTTTGACAATAATTAAATTCTCTCAAAATATTTCTTTAATTTTTTTAATATAATCGATTTTTTCAATAATTGTAATTAATAATAATTTTACTATCAAAATTTTATTAAAATTATTGACAGAAAATTAAATTCTTTTAAACAATTTTATTAGAGTTTTTGTAAATAATTAAATTCTTTTGAAGAATTTCTTCGTTTTTTGAAAGCAATGTATTTTTTTTAAATAGTTTTACTTGAACATTTTTAAAATAGTTTTTTTTCAATATAATTGAATTCTTTCTTTTTTTTAAAATACTATTAAAGGTTTTGACAATAATTGAATTATCTCAAAAAATTTCTTTAATTTTTTGAATATAATCCATTTTTTAATAATTGAAATTAAATTTAATTATTGAATTTTATTGAAATTTTTAGAAAATTAAATTTATTTAAAAACTTTTATTAGAGTTTTTGTTAATAATTAAATTTATTAATTTTATTAAAATTATTGATAGAAAATTAAATTCTTTTAATCAATTTTATTAGAGTTTTTGCAAATAAATAAATTCTTTTTAAGAATTTCTTCGTTTTTTGAAAACAATGTATTTTTTTAAATAATTTTAATTGATTATTTTTTAAATAATTTTTTTCAACTTTTTAAAATAATCTTGTCTATTAATAATTAGAATTAAAAATTTGACTATTAAATTTTATTATTAATTTTATTAAAAATAATTGAATTCCTCAGAAGAGTTTTACTATTTGTAAAAATATTTTAATTGTTTCAAAGAATTTATTAAAATTTAAAAGTTTAGAAGTAATTATAATTATATTTTAGAAAATGTTAGAAATAATTTGATTTATATTTTGATTAAATTTACAGAAAATTTGAATTAAATTTTAGACAAGTTTAGAAATAATTTAATTTATACTTTAAACAAATTTAGAGAGAATTTGAATTACATTTTGGAAAAATTTAGAAATAATTTGATTTATATTTTAGAAAAATTCAGAGATTATTTCTTTCGTATTTTATAAAAATTTATAATTAATTTGCCTCGTATTTTAGAAACATTGATAAATAATTTAATTTATATTTTACAAACATTTACTGATAATAAAATAAAGAAAGCATTCTTTTATTATAATTCACACTAAAATATTGAAATGAAAAATGATATGAATTTTTTACTATAATAGATGAAATTTGAAGAAAATAAAAATGTTCTTGACAAATTGCAGTATGTAAATTTTGCAGCTTACCAGATCCAATATGAACGATGTCATGTTGCTTGATGTTTCGAGAAATCAGACTGGAATTTACAAATGTGAAGCAACTGAAGAATTCCCGACGCTTGAAACTCGGACACAACAATCCTACATGATGGTCGTTGGTATGTAAATTTTTCCACTTTTTTTCTCGAAAAAAAAAACAAAAATGAAATTATTAAACAAAAAATAAATTATTAAATAAACATAAAAAAGAATTTCCTTCTTTTCTTTTATGTTTATAAAGTCCGTTCAAGTTTCTATTTATACAGCAATTTTATTTTACTAAATTTTGCAATTAACAGAAGTACCAGAACAAGATCCGTCAATATTAGTTCAAAGAGATCGTTTACCAGTTGGAGAGACACTTCGAGCGAATTGCACATCAGGATCGTCTCTTCCTGCTCCGATAATTACGTGGACTATTAATGGAGAACCTGTAAGTATTCTCTCGAAAAATTTAAAAAATTTCAGTATTTATTAGAAAAAAATTGTTGTTAAATAATTTTCTAATTATTTAATTATTTATTATTTTATCAAAATAATTTGATTTGTTTTTTTAATGAGACTTCTATTTGTAAAAATACTTTTATCACTATTAGAAAGAATATTAGTTTGATAATAAAATTATTTTCCTTATTGTAAAATCCATTTTTTTTCTCATTAAAAATATTTTCTCTCTTCTTTCTTCAAATTAACAGTTTTTATTTTCCTTTTCTTTCAGCTTGATAATAATAAAATGGAATTTCGAATAAATTTCCGCAATATTCCAATGTATGCGGAAAAATTTATGACCCGATCGAGTCTTGAGATCAAAATTGTCCCCAAATTATTTCAAGACAGTAAAATTCGTTTACGATGTTTTGCGAATATTCATCCTGTTTATCAAGCAACGGCCGAACTTGAGATTACTGAAGATGTTCCATTTATTGCATCCATCACTGGAAATGCTTCCCCTCGTAATTATCGTGAGTAAAAAAATTTTCCTTAAATCTTATTTACAAAAAAAAAAAAATTATTTACTTCGAAATAATTCATTTTTCGAAATATAATTCAGTTTTCGAAATATAATTCATTTTTCGAAATACAATTCTTTTTTCTTCTATTTAACATAAAATATTTTCTGCTCATTAATCATTTTCTGTGTTTTCTTTCGTTTTCTTGATAGAGACAAACGTGTGCAGTCGAAATAATTTATCCGTCTGTCTGAATTTGGCGACGACAGTTTTTTTGGTACTCGTTGCAGTAACAGTTACAAATGTGAGGTAGTTTTATGAAAGAATTTTATGGAACATTGCGCATTTCGACTAATTGCAGTGCTTATTATACTGCGTACGAAGTAGATAGATAGTGAACAGTATAATGACACTAAAAACTTTATGAATACACAAACAAAATATACATTTTTTAATTTTTTTTTATCATTCTTTTTCAATTCATTTGTTCACACATTTTTCATTAAAAATATTGTCGATATTAAATAATATTTAAGAATATAACTATAAGAATTGTCACATTTTTTTATCGAGTTCTGTTATTTGTAATATGTAAATAAATTAATATTTTGCAAAAGAAAAAAATTAATCAGAATTGTTCATAAAAACTCAATTTAGAAAATTGTTCCAAAATTTCTCCAAAAAAAATTTTTTTTTCTAATTTAATGCTAAAGGAAATCAAAAAATTAACAATAAAAATTAGTTTTCATTGACCTATAAAAGAGAAATAAATTAATAGAGTCGTTGAAACTCTTTTCTAATAGAAACCATAAAGGATTTTTTGCTCAATGAAGTTGAAATCGAAATAAAACTCCAAGAGCGGGTCAGCATTAAAATTAATGCGATTTGTTCGGTTTACGATTTGAAAAGTTTTCAGAATTCAACTCAATTACTAATCATAGTAATTATAGAACTTTTTTAATAGAAAGAAATTTTTTTTTTAATAAAAAGAAATTTGAAGTAAAAGAAGTAAATTTTTTTTAAATGATTATTTTCCAAATTATTTTACGCACTAAAGTGTTTCGGTTATAATGAAATTTATGCCGTTCCATTAGAAAAGAAAGAAGAACATTTGAATTTATGGAATAAAAAGCACTTACGCCCTGAGCAAAATTGCTTTTTCAATTTCACAAAGTGCTTTGGTAAAAGACTATCCATTACCCGAGAAGAAACAAATACAAGTCAATAACAAAGAATCGTAAAAACAAAACAAACACGAATATTGACACCATATTGACACTTCTGATAAGAAAAGTATTTGTAACTGACATTTCTGACATTTTTATTAAAAATAAAAACAAATTATTTTTCATTAATCTTTAAATATTGACAATTTTAAGAATTATTAAATTAACTAATTTGATGAAATCAGAAATGAAAAAAAAAATTAAAGAGTTAAAAAGTTAAAAGTTAAATAAATGTTTAATTAATTATTTTTACTAGCTTTCCAATTTTCCAAAGAGAGTAAAAATGGATTTAAACGAAAAGAGAAAAACTGCTGACAATAATATTCTCCCTCTTCTATCTCTCGAAAAATTAAAAGCGAAAGAAACACATAAAATTTCTCTAATAAACAATGAAAATCAAAAGAAATGGAAAGAATTTATTGACAGACTTCCAGAATCACAAAATGAAACCGTTCCCAGAGAACTTGATAAGTAAATTTGAAAACAACAGAAATATAATTTGAATTTATCAAAAATGAATGCAATAAAATTTGTACGAATTTAATAGAGAAAGTTCATTCATAGATATTGGCGATGGAAAAACTATAAGAAATATATACCCGAAGAACGAACAAATTTTCGGAAAACAATGTCAATTGGTCCTAAAATCGATCAATTTGGTCGTCTACCAATACCTGAGGATTTAAATAAATTTCGAACTTGTACTGATCATAAATTAAACAAAATCGGAGCATATCTAAGAAAAGGGGATGGTCTTCGAAAAATAGAACAATTGAATAAAGAAAAAGAAAAATTGAGTAAAGAAAAATTAAATAAAGAAAAAGACAAATTTCGCAAGAGTAAAAAGTCCCCAATTAATATTACGAATAATTCTCTCTATTTACAGAAAAAGAATAAATAAATTTTTCTTCTTTATCTTTGTATAGTCATTCTTGATAAAAAAAAAATCATAATCAAAAATCAGCATTACCACTGAGTAATAAAATTCTACAAAATATCGTCGACAATTTTCTAGATCGCTAACACTGATCCTAAAAAAAATAGAGTATTTTCGCAATATTTTCGAAAAATAAGAAAAAGTATTATTTAATCTAAGCACCACTGATAAAGAGTTAATTAGTAGCAAAATAATTTCACTTACACTTTTTTCTTTTCTTTAATCTAGCTGAGGTAAAAGGCACCGGTTTTGTTAATTAGTTCTCTGTGTATCGATTATTATCCAAATTTATAATTTGAATAAATTTTGCGGAACATGTCGCGACAATTGATTTTGACATTCAATTTAGCGCAGAGTAGAAAGACGCCAGATAACTTTCTATGCAAGCTGTAAATTTCTTCTGGCGGCGGACAGAGTCTGTGATTTACAATCGTGGGAACAAGTTTCTGTATTCTGCAAAAATAAAATTCGAGGCTCCATAAATAAATAAATAAGTATATAAATAAGAAAATAAATAAATAAGTGAATAAATAAATAAATATTATGTAAACAAGAAATTTTGTAAAAGTTTCCTGTTAGTCATAATTATTTACCGTTTAGTTACTTCTTGACCTCCGAAGTCGAAATATTCACTCTCTTTATCAAAAACTTGACCTAGAATCATAACCGCATCGACGTGTGCTTCTTCCATGATCTAAGAATATAATTATTAATTTTAGTAATTATTTTGTCATTTATTTAGAAAAGTTTATTTTTTAAAGTACCAGTGTGATGTAAGCTAATTAATTTAGAAAGTCTAATGAAAGCAAAAATTGTATAAAAAATACCTTCGATTCATATCCAGTCAAAAATCCCATTTCTCGTGAAAGATTTAGAACCTTTTGCCTGTCACCTTCACTTGCTCCATTGATTACTTCTATGTATTTATCCATAAACGGTTTTTCATAACTTCTACATGCGCCAAAATCGAGAAGAATTAACTGCAAATAAATTTCATTTTTACTCAACTATTTCAATTTTTTTTTGATTATTTTGTAATTAATTATTTTTGAATAAATTCAATTCAGTCCATTTTCTTATAAATTTTTGAATTCAGTCTGAATTTTAATTCCATAAAATAAAAATTAATGAATATTCATACTTGTCTCGTCTCCGTGTTGTAAAAGAAATTCGACCAATTGGGATCAGTTTGCATGTAACGAAAAACAAAAAGTTCCTTCAAACAAAGCTCCATTATTAATTTACAAATATGTTTTCGTGTCTCTTCGTCCATGTCTGCGCACTTATCAACCGGAATTCCGTCCACTAGTTCACTAGTAAAAACTTGACTTGTACTAATTTCATCTAAAAATTTTATTACATTAAATATTAAAGTAAATAATTAAATATTTTATATTAAATTCATTATTTACTTTCGAGAGTTAAGAATATAAATTTTTCTTTTACCTACAACAGCAGGAACATGATACTCAGGATAAGGTTCGACAAATTTTTTATATTTCCTCGCACATTCAGCTTCTCGAATATAATCAACTTCCCAGGCGAGTTCTCGTTTCGCAACTTCTACAATGTTGTCGATAAACATTCCTTGAGGAAACATATTCCATACCTGAAGAAAAATATTCGAACGTTATTAAACAAAGATAGTAAAATAAAATATAATAAATTGATTTACAACTGAAGATTGAATTTTTTCCGAATACTCACCTTCATTACTCCAACTAAATTTTCAATGTCACTTGAAATTCCCAACGCGACTCCAGGATATTGAATTTTTATAGCCACTGGCTGATTGTTTAACAATGTTGCGTGATGAACTTGACCTAAAAATTATTTGAAGAAATAAAATTAATTTCTGAAAAATGATAAATAAATGTAATAAATAAATATGAAAAGTAAATAAAAATCAAAACGTACCTATTGAAGCTGCTGCAAAAGGTTTATCCTCAAATGTCGAAAATTTACTCCTCCAGTCAGAACCCAATTCACTGGACAACACTTTCTAAAATAGATTCAATTTTGAAAAAAATAATTAAATATTAATTAATTGATTAATTATTAATTAATTAATTGATTGAAACTTATTTTTACCTCCACCTGCCATTTCGGCATAAAGTCGGCACTTTGTCTCACACGTTCGAAAGCCTTTTGCAATTCGGGACTGATTATATTATTATCCTGAATACTAAGAATCTGTCCGATTTTTAATGCGGCTCCTAAAAAGAATAATTAACAATAAAAACCAAAAAGATTTAAAGAAATTAAAATAAAAAAATTGTTTTTAAGTAAAAAATTACAGTTTCGTGAATATTACACGCTTCGTAGCTTCGTACATGATAATTAATTTAAAAAAGTAGCAAAAAGAAGTTTCAAGTCTGAAAAAAGTAGTAAAATGTCCTAGTTAGCGAAAAATTAAATATAACGACTAAATTTTTTCATAATCTATATTGATAAAATCAGACTTCTATGTACCTGTAAATTTCTCCAAACTTGAAAATTTTTATATATTTTTTCGTTTTGAGACATTAGAATTCGAAAAATGTAAAAAAAACATTGAAAACGGTTTAACCAATTAAAGTGAAATTTGGCAGTCTATTAGGTATTAACGTAGCTTAAAATCATAGCCTTATCCGATTAAAAAATATTAAATTGAACGAAAGTTGTGACATTTTTCCAAAAAATTCGAAAAATAAAAAAATGCAAATTTTTTATTTTTTGTAAAATGAATGCAAAACTATCCTTAGCTAACTTTTTCAGATAAATACAACCCATTTCTACAATAAAATTTTTAAAAAAGACGTATTTTGAAATTTTTTTTCGTTTTTTTATATCAACTTTTTTCTAAAAAAATAGTGATTTTTAATCTTTAAGCAAGCTTTTCAGGAAAAGTTCTTAAAGTTTTTTATTTAAAGATCAGTATGTAAAGTAAGAAATTTGATACATTAGACAAAAATTATGAAGCTAAATGCCATAAAAGAGAAGAAAAAATGTTGAATTTTAAGAAATTCGGATTTCGAAATTTTCATAATTTTTTATTTTTTACCAAAGGGTGGAGACTATTAAATAAGTAAAGTATTTTTGAAGAGCACAAAAATAATGAAGCTAAATGCCACAAAAGAGAAGAAAAAATGTTGAATTTTAAGAAATTCGGTTTTTTGAAATTTTGATAATTTTTTATTTTTTACCAAAGGGTGGAGACTAGTAAATAAGTCAAGTATTTTTGAAGAGCACAAAAATAATAAAGCTAAATGCCATAAAAGAGAAGAAAAAATAATGAATTTTAAGAAATTTTTTATTTTGAAATTTTGATAATTTTTTATTTTTTATCAAAGAGTGGAGACTATTAAATAAGTAAAGTATTTTTGAAGAGCACAAAAATAATAAAGCTAAATGCCATAAAAGAGAAGAAAAAATAATGAATTTTAAGCAATTTTTTATTTTGAAATTTTGTTTATTTTTTATTTTTTACCAAAGGGTGGAGACTATTAAATAAGTAAAGTATTTTTGAAGAGCACAAAAATAATGAAGCTAAATGCCAAAAAAGAGAAGAAAAAATGTTGAATTTTAAGAAATTCGGTTTTTCGAAATTTTAATAATTTTTTATTTTTTACCAAAGGGTGGAGACTATTAAATAAGTAAAGTATTTTTGAAGAGCACAAAAATAATGAAGCTAAATGCCATAGAAAAGAAGGAAATATGTTGAATTTTAAGAAATTCAGTTTTTCGAAATTTTGATAATTTTTTATTTTTTACCAAAGGGTGGAGACTATTAAATAAGTAAAGTATTTTTGAAGAGCACAAAAATAATGAAGCTAAATGCCATAGAAAAGAAGGAAATATGTTGAATTTTAAGAAATTCAGTTTTTCGAAATTTTGATAATTTTAGATTTTTTACCAAAGGGTGGAGACTATTAAATAAGTAAAGTATTTTTGAAGAGCCCAAAAATAATGAAGCTTAATGATATAAAAGAGAAGAAAAAATGTTAAATTTTAAGAAATTCTGTTTTTTGAATTTTTGATAATTTTTTATTTTTTGCTAAAGGGTGGAGAGTATTCAAATATTAATATTATACTACCGAAATAGCTAATGGTAACTAATTATTAATTTTCCGGTCAAATTAAATTCCCGGCTATTTTCTGATTTTCCAGATTGGTAGAAACATTGTTAAATGTATTGGTAGAAACTAAAACCCGTCGAAGACGGCTACGACAGCTAGTTGAATATAATTGAATTTCTAAGAAGAATTTTATTATTTATAAAAATAATTTAATTCTCGTGAAAAATCTTATTATTTGGGAAAATAATTGAATAATTGTGAAGAATTAAAGAATTCATTAATTTTTTTTTTAAATAATTGGTTTTCTGAGAAGAATTTTAATATTTATAAAAATTCTTGCGAAGCATTTTATAATAATCTTTTTAAATAATTCTTTTTTGAAAAAGTTTTTGAAAATTGTAATTTTAATAATTGAATTTCTGTAAAAATTGTATTCTTTATTTATGAAAATAATTAAATGTTTATAAAGAATTTTATAAAAATCTTTTTTAAATAATTGAATTCCTTTTTTTCCTGTCAATAATTTTTTTTTATTCCAACTATTAGCGAATTTAATGTAATAATACAAATTTTCAAAAAAGTAGCTTTTATTGGCATATATATGAAAAAAGTATCTAAATAGTAGAAAATCGCAAAAAAGTAATAAATAATAAGTTTTAGTAGATGAGTACGAAGCCTGATATTAGAAAAAAGAATAAAATGTGAAATTTTTAAGTAAAATTTTATGAAATGCAAATATAATAGTAGTCAATGTAATTTTACCTCTAACTTTGCATAATGTTGAAACAATTCTTTCTGCATTGGCTTTAGTTAGAAACATAGTATCGAGAGTTTCTCCAACACTTTGATCCTTAATTTTAAATGTTCTGCGAGTATATTCGGCTAGAGTTCCAACACCAAGGCCTACGCCAAGTGTGCCAAAACTCATCATTCTTTGTAATCTCGTTGACGGAACTTTCCGTTCCTTGGAAGTTGCCGAAAGCTTTAAAAAAGTAGCGTAAATTATTAGTAATAAAATTATTAATAAAATAAGTACGAAAAAAGATTTCGACTTTATCTTAATTAATATAATACTAAATTTTATAGAAACATTATTTTAAGAAATCAAAGTAAATTAGTACTCACAGTCTGTCTAGGTTTAATCGAAGGTTTAATCTTTGGTTTCATTGTCATATTCTCACTACTTTCCTGTTGATTAGAATTTTTATCAACATTTTTTGTCTTTTGTTCATCTTTATTACTCTTCTGAGTATCTTCATCAATTTTCTTCTTTTGCTCGTGTGTCAATTTTTCTTCTCTTGTCCCACTGCCATCAGGATTTAGTTGTTGGATCTTTTTCTCATGTTCAAGTTCGAGTTTTCTTAAAATTTTCTGCTCCTTATCCGAGAGTTCAATGTTCGGTACCTCGTTACTCGATTTTGATATTTTCTCTATTTTCTCTTTGACACTTGAATATTTTGTCGGTTTGCCTGAAGCTTCTTTTTTTTCTTTTCCCGATTTACTAACATTTTCAACTGTCTGTTCGGTTCTATTATTATTATTCAGAGGCACTTCTCTTGGATCTTTTGCAGGATCATAGAATTCTAATTTTTTCCCTGTGTAATTTGATTCATAATTTATTGTTCCGCCCAGAGCTTCTGTGGTCTTAACTTTCGAGTACTGAACAAAGCCTTCTTCAACGACGAGAATTCGTTCTAGAAGTTCTCTGGTTTCCTTGGCGACTGTTTGCTTTAAGGAGAATTTTGATTTTTTATTCTTTATCACAAAGGGGCGAATTATTATTTATAATTTTCTTTACTTTACGTTTATAAATTCATTAAAAATAAATATTAAATAAAGTGATTTTTTTTCTTTGAGCGAAAAAATAAAGAAATGATTTTATAATAAAAATTGAGGAAAATGAAGATTCTGATGATCTACTAAAATTTATTGAAACTTACGGGAACCTTACTTGGATCTATGTTACTTAATTTCTGCTTTAAATTCTTTAGATTTTCTTCAGCTGCCGATACCACACTGGAGTTTTTAAGTGAATGTTTTACACAATTCTCCTGTTGTTTTAAAATTGCATCAACCACCAATTTAGCACCACGAAGTGTACCAACTATATCGGAAGTCAATCGTCTAGACATAACTAAAATGAAAATATAAAATTAAATATAAAATAAAAATATTAGAACAAAAATTTTCAGAAATTCTTTAGTTTTTAGTACTAAACATTTTTCCAAACATTCTTTCATTAAATTCATTTAATTTATTTGATTTGAATTTGAAATGAGTTTATTTTAACAAATAACGTTAATAGTTTATTATTATTAATAATTTCGTACAACAATTAAAGTTTTATTTCATAAAATTGACACTTGACTAATAAACAAAAGAAAAATGTCGATACTATTATTGTAAAAAGTATGAAGTTTATTTTTACATACCTGCGCTTTTTTATAGAATGTGCTTCTTAAAAAATTATAATCAAATAACAAAACTAAAAATCATTGAAAGAAAATTAACAAATTTGCGTCTTGAAATTTTGAAAGCCTTGAATTATTTGGATATAAGTCACTCTCAATGCCCTTGAAATTACGTAAGTGAGGTTATGTATAACACCGGTTTTGCACTTTGCAAAAATTGATGTTCAATTAAAATGATACACTTACAGAATTAATACGTAAAATTCTAATTAATTAGTGAATTAATTTCCTGCTTTTTATCATCAATTTTTAAAGTCTATTGTTGACAAATAGTAATTTTTGGGTTAAGATTTACAAGATTTACAATTTGCAATCACACAAAAAATTTACCACTATTTTTTCGAAAATAATCAATTAAAATAATTTCCGTTATCAATAATTATAATTTACATTCAACTTTTATTCAATAAAATAAATAAAATGAGTAATATATGTAAATTTTTCTTGTTTTTAACACTGATGTTTTTGAGTTTACACTGGTTTACATGTGTTACATATTAAGGCAAGTTCACAGTTTTGCAAGTTCTGCTTGTCCCGCTCTGAAGAGCTATGAATTCCCCTTAAAATTCGCAAATAGTTGATTTAAATTACAGACGTTGGTGGCGCTGATTCTCATTAAAAGAAAGACGTATTTTTAGAATTTCGATTACCAAAGTGACGCTAAAACTTTTTCATTTATTGCTTGCCTGATGGAAAGTGTGCTTTGTTAAGTAAGTTATTTTGTAAATATAAAATAAACAACTTGTATTTCAAACGAACAGTGTAACTTGAAACTTATTTTAATTAGACTATTTTTATGAAATACATTCTTGCCATTGAGGTTAGGTTCATCATACTTCTTAATTTTAGACGTTCTTTTTTGTTTTCTTTTAAATTCTATCATGTAATTAAATTTTACAGAATTGTAATTAGTTTTTACATTCTTACTTTTCTCGAATCAGTTGAATTATGTACTTGTTTCTATATCATTAAAGACTTGTACAGTCGGCAGTGTGACGCCAATACGTGAAAGGTTATAGATATATAGATGGATACGAACACAAATTTTTAAAAATTTGATATTATAAATGTTATAAATTAAACGACAGTTGTATTCCTTTTACAAATAACTGTATAATTCGTTTTTTTGAAGTACAGAAGAATAATATCAAATTGTTACAATTTTAAGAGCTTTATTCGATCATCTGGATTCTGTTCACAGCTTTTCGGTTATCAATTTAAAGATATGAAATTAGAAATAGATATTTTTGTTATGTATTTTATATTAAAATTTTCAAATTAATTTTCCCCATCAAAGAAAATTGTACTTTAATAGAATTGTAAGAGGAAACTGAAAATTCCTCAAAATTCTTTCAGATTTTTTTTCAATTCGTTTCTTCTATTATATTCAAATTGTTTTTTTTTCAGGATTAGAAAATTATGATTGTATACTTAAGCAATTAAGTAAACGTAAATATGAATAATAAAGTAACCAAATTAAATCCGTCGATCGACATCATTCCACTTCAAGGATCCAGTGACGATAGCCGATTAAAGTTAATGAACAATCGAAGATCATTCAGTTCGAATCCTATTTATGGCGATCCCTTGATTATGGATAGGGTACAAATGGTAAATAACATTTTTTTAAAATAAAATTTAGATAAATGCATTCAATAATCAATATTCATTGAAATGCATTCAAAAACAATTAATAATTTTGATAATTTGATTATTGTTTGATTTTCAGTACCTTTATGAAAACGAGGACAAAGTTTATGTTGACATTAATAAAATGTCAGACAGCATTCAAAAGAAATATAGAGAATATCGAAACAGAAAACGTGGTCCATTCAGAGATATGGTACGCAAGGCATACGATGCTGTTAATGAGTGTTTAGCTACTAGGACAGCGTGGAAAGAAGACGATGAAGTTGAATTGGTAACGTAGAAAATGTTTTAAATAACGAACTTGTCAATTTTAATAGAATTCTATTTTTTAATATAAAAACTATTGGAACTATTAACTGAATTTAAAGTCCCTGAGATTAAAATTAAAATCCCTTGGATTAAAATTAGGAAAATTTTTGGAAAAATTAAATCAAAATGAAAATTTTTAAAAATATCCAAGCGCCGGTATTTTAATTATTTGGAAAAAATACTCTACGTCCGAAAAAGTATTTCAGTATTATTATTATAAATCGTTAATTATAAATATTAAGAAACTTTATTCATTGGAATTATGACTATTCTAATATTTTCTCTATAAGAAAAAATTATCTTCATATTTTAGTACGATTCTCAAAATGATCACGATGAACTTTTGAGAATGTATAAAAGAAGTATGAATTCGAAAAATGGAAATACGAGTGATAAAGAGCTAATTGATATTAGCAGCGACGACGAGAAAATCAATGAAATGTCTATGATTAAGGACACTGAAGTGTTTGAAGTAAACAAAAGGCCTCGTAAAAGATTCCTTTATGGAAATTCCAATGAACAGCCGAAAGATCAAGCAAACTTCCTTTCTTCAGAGGTAAAACGCTTTTCTTTGCAAAAAAAAAGACAAAAGTCTACCACAGGCAGAGATCGGACTAGAGTAATAATGGGCATTTTTTAACTAAAAACATGTGAAGAAAAAAAGGGAAAAAATGTAATTTTTATATTTACTGAATCAGGGTTTCTGCAGGTCAGGGATATTTTCTATTTCAGACAATAATTTCTTCTCAAATAACTTCATTTTTCAAGAACTATCATAAAATTATGACTTATAAATTATTCAATGAATAATTTTTACAATTTTCATAAATACTAGATTTCTAGAAGAATTTTAGTTAATACTAAAAAAAAATTTAATTTTTGTAAAAGTTACAAATGATTCCAGAAATCCAAATATTTTAAAAAGTTATAAAAATTCTTCGTAGAAATTCAATTATGTTCAAAATTTTTTTTTAAATTTCTCGTCAAAATTTCAATTATCTTTATAAATAATAAAATTCTTCAAAATTCAATTATTTAAAAAAATTTTAATAAAATTCCTGGCAAAATTTCACAGGAATTCAATTATTTACAAATTTTTAATAAATTTCTTTGAAATAATTCAATTATTTTCATAAGGAATAAAATATCACAGGAATTCAATTATTTAAAATATATAATTTCATAAAATTTTTTGAAAAATATCAATTATTTAAAAAGATTTTTATAAAATTCGTCGCAAGAATTCAATTATTTTAAAAAAATTTAACACACTTCTTTTCTAGAATTCAATTATTTTTATAAATAATAAAATTCTTCACCAAAATTCAATTATTTTTATAGACTTGAATAAAATTCGTTGCAAAGAATTAAATTATTTATATAAGTAATCAAATTCTTCACAGAAATTCAGTTATTTTTATAAAATTTCATAAAATTTTTCGAAAAATATCAATTATTTAAAAATATTTTTATAAAATTCGTCGTAAGAATTCAGTTACTTAAAAAAAAATTTAACAACGTTCTTTTCAAGAATTAACAATTATTTTTATAAATAATAAAATTCTTCACCAAAATTCAATTATTTTTATAGACTTGAATAAAATTCGTTGCAAAGAATTCAATTGTTTATATAAATAATAAAATTCTTCACAGAAATTCAATTATTTTAGAAAAATTTTAATAAAATTCTTGAGAAAATTTTAAATATTTTCATAAATAATAAATCTCATCGCAGGATTTTAATTATTTTTGGTACAATTTTAATCAAATTCCTCGAAAAATGTAATTATTCTTAAAAATTTTATTAAAATTTGTCAAAAAAATTCAATTATTTAGAAATTTGTTGATAAAATTCTTTATGAGAATTAAATTTTAAGAAACATTCAATTATTCAATAAATTATTTATTTGTTAAGTTAAATAATTGAATTCTTCTAGAATTTTCTAATAAATATTGATTTAAAAATGAATTACCGAATATAATCGATTTATTATTTATGAAAATAATTGAATTCTTGCAACGAATTTTATTACATTTTTTTAAAATAATTTAATTTTTTTGAGAAATTTTACTACTTGTAAAAATAATTGAATTCTTGCGAAGGATTTTATTAGGATTTGTGTAAATAATTAACTTTTTTTTGAAAAATTTTATGGTAATTTAAATTATCACAAAACATGAAGGAAGGCGATCACTCCGAGTCGAAGACTTTTCTTTCTTTCTTTTTTCTTCATGTTTTGTAATAATATTTTTATAAGTTGTTGAATTTCAAAAAGGTTTGAATTTGAATGTTTTGAAGAATTTTAATTCCTACGGAAAAATAATAATGATTAAATATTTATTGAGAAAGAAGTTTAATAAAATAAGTAAATTTATTTAAAGATGTTTTGGAATAATTTTACAATTAAAGAAATATGTAAATAAATGTAATAGAACATTTTTTTGAGTATCTAATAATTTTTGAACTGAATCAGAATATTCTTTAGGGTCAGGGAAAAAGTGAAAATTTTGTCTGGAAATTAGGGAAAAATAAAATTAAATAATTGTGGTAACCCTGTGAATGAACAGGGGTGACACACATAAGGAAAATCTGGAAATGCCAGGAAATTTTATAAAGAGTACTGAAAAAGTATTAAATTATTAGAATTCATAAGAAAATTTGTGGACCTTTGTGTCCAGCTGTCTTTAAAAAAATTAAATTCTATTCCTGACGATAATTAAACTTCAAAGAATATGAAGATTGAAACTTCTAATTCACAAACAAAATAGGAAGGAAATTGTATTAAAATATAATTTATGAATAAATTATATTAATTTATTAACATGGTTTGCAATATAGATTATTATCTATATTAAATCTGTAAAATATTATTAAAATCGTTTTAATAATATTTCTAGGCTCTCGGCCCAGTTACTTTAGTCCACTCTCTCTATTTCTCTCTATCTCTGTAAAATATGTATTTTTTTGTTTTTGTTTTGTTTAATATTTAAATTTAATATTAGGTTCTACAGGTTTCTTTCCATTTATAAAAGAAGAAACCTCATTTTTCACGTGGTGCAAATTCCAAGAATACAAATTGCCAGTCCAATGAATTTATTCTACATAACAAGATACAAATTATAATGAATTTAAAAAAAAATACGAAACATTACACGAGCACACGATTTAAATGCTACTTGTTTCAACTATAAATTTTCTTTTTTACATTCATGGAAAGAAACACTGATGATCTCTATAATAGACCGTAAATTATTGAAATATTAATATGTTTTGTGTTTAGATTTATCCAGAAAAATGTTTAACAACGGAACGTCCAACAGATAAACAGGAGAGAAAACGACAGAAACGCAATGACGGCACTGCATTGTATAGTAGTTCTGTCGCAAGAAAAAGAGTGAACGTTTCAGTTGATGATCATAAAGTAACATTTGCAAATGTCGGTGGCGCCTCGAAAGTTATTGAATCTGTTTGTAAACTATTGGTTCACATGAAGCATCCTGAAATTTTCAAGCAAATGGGCATTTCCCCACCGAGAGGATTTTTACTTTATGGACCACCTGGTTGTGGGAAAACTCTGTTGGCCTATGCCATTGCAGGGGTAAATATTTTTTCTTTTTTTGTTATTAATCAATACCCATCGATCGATTTACTACTTTTTTACAATTTGCTACTATTTTGATACTTTATTCAAATTTCTGACACTAAAAGCTACATTCAGTCTTAAAGCTTCTTTTAACTACTTTTTTAAAACTAATTATCGATTGCGAAGTCTGTGAATGGAAATTGACTCAGTGATTAATAAAAATTAATTGAATAAAAATTTTTATTTTCCATCAGGAATTAAATGTCCCTATGTTGAAAATCGCCGGCCCTGAACTTATTGCCGGTGTTTCCGGTGAAAGTGAAGCGAGAATTCGCGAATTATTTGAACAAGCTCTTGCATTATCACCCTGTGTTCTCTTTTTGGATGAAATTGATGCTCTCGCACCGCACAGAGCCAATGCTCAAAAGGAAATGGAACGTCGGATTGTTTCTCAATTGCTGGCGTGTCTCGATGGTAAATTTTGCACGTTTTGGATTTTTTTTATATTTGTTTCGTGATGAAAAGAAATTCTTGTATGAGAATAAAATAATCATTTTGAAAATAATATTTTTGCAGATTTAAGTAAAAAGGAAAATGGCAATAGAGTTTTGGTTGTTGGAGCTACAAATCGACCGGACGCACTGGATCCAGCGTTGAGACGAGCTGGACGCTTTGATCGTGAAGTTCCCCTTGGTATTCCCGATAAAGAAGCAAGAAGACAAATTCTTGCTGTTCATACCGAAAAAGTTAAACTCTCACCGGATGTTGACTTAACTCGCCTGGCTTCTTTGACTCCTGGTTTCGTTGGCGCAGATTTAGTCGCTCTAATCAGAGAGGCTTCTATGGTTGCAATAAACAGGTAAACTTTTCCACACAGTATTATTTATTTATTTTCTTATTTAATAGCCAAAAGGTATTTAAATACCAAAAATCTATGTTCTAAAAATTAAAAAAAAACTTACCCAATTATTTCCCACACTTACAGAATGTTTGCCGAATTAAAGAATAGTAACACTAAAAAAGAGGAGAAAATACCGGTGAACGATGTGGAGGAGGATAAAAGTATGGACATCGAGGTAACGGAAATAATAACCGAAGAGATAAATTTAGAACAAGACGATGCAAAGAAACCAGAGGAGAATGTGGAGAAAGCAAAAGAGGCGGAAAAGGAGCCGGAAATAATAACTGAAGAACCGGAGAAAGAAAAGGAGAAAGAGAAGGAGACAGAGAAGGAAAAAGAAAAGGAAAATCCAGAAGTCGAGGAAGTCACATTGGAAGCAGATTCTTCGAAAAATGCGACAAGTGATGAAAAAACAGAATCGACATCAAAGGAAACGGAGAAAGAAATAAGTGAAGAAGAAGTTACCGATAATGCTGTACCTGTAGAGACTTTGGAGAATGGTGACATGGAAACTGATAAATCTTCAACGCCAGAATCGAGTCCAGAAACAGATCTCTTAAAATGGTTGCACAATGATTTGCCAATTTGTTCAACGACATTGGCGTCAATGTTTATCGAGCACATGGATTTCGAGGGAGCACTTAAAGTTGTACAACCTTCATCGAAAAGGGAAGGCTTTGCCACTGTTCCCGATATTACGTGGGAGGATGTAGGTTCTCTAAAGGATATTCGTCACGAATTGCAGATGTCGATACTGGTGAGATATAAACAATCTTTTTTTTAAAGAAATTTTTCATTCTTCAATTTTTTTTAATTACTTAGCATATTTTACGTTTTTGTATAAAAACGATACTTGCTTTGATTTTCAAAGTTTAAAAACTAACTACAGTCAAAGTGAACCGAAAACATTAAACTATCATTGAATTTTTTTTCCCCCTTAAAAATTTAAAAATGTAAAAAGTTAGAGTATCAATTTTAATTATTTCAATACAAACAATAATTTTTTAAACATTAATTTTTGTATTTAAATAATTGAATTCTCGGAGAATTTTCTAAAAATTATTTTAAAGAATTGATTTAGAAAACATTTTAGCTACAAATTCTGGAAAATAATTAAATAATTTAATTTCAAAAAATTTTTTAATTGAAATTTTTTAAAATAATTGAATTTCAAAAAGATTAAAATGGAAATTTTTATAAATAATTAAATGTTGAATCAGTTTACAATTGAAATTTAAAAAATTGAAATTGAATTTCAAAAAGTTTAATATGGAAATTTATAAATAATTGAGTTCAAAAGGTTTTTCAATTAAAATCTTTATAAATAATTGAATTTGAAAGGGTTTTGAATTAGAATTTTTATAAACAATTGAATTTGAAAATAGTTTACAATTGAAATTTGTAAAAATAATTAAATTTTAAAGATTAAAATAGAAATTTTTATAAATAATTGAATTTTTAAGCAGTTTACAATTGAAATTTGTAAAAATAATTGATAGTTTTAAATAAAAATTGTTATAAATAATTGAATTTGAAAAGGTTAAAAATTAAAATTTTATACACAATTCAATATTTCAGGCGCCTATCAAACAAGCAAGAGAATGCGAATTACTCGGTTTATCTGCTCCCAGCGGTGTATTATTGTGCGGCCCACCAGGTTGCGGAAAAACTTTGCTAGCAAAAGCAATTGCCAATGAGGCGGAAATTAATTTTATCTCCGTCAAAGGACCTGAATTGTTAAATATGGTAAAGTACAAAACATTTTTTCTTTTCTTGTAAATATCTTAATTGTAAACGATTTTAAATATTAACTCCTCAAGTGCGGATGGCGAAGAATTTGTCAATTTTTTGTCATGGAACACAAGACGGCTAGGAAATGAAATACTTGTTAAGGAATTTTTCTAAAAAGAAAAAATATACTTTTTGCAGTACGTCGGCGAAAGTGAGAAGGCAGTTCGACAATGTTTCATAAGAGCTCGAAATTCGGAACCCTGTGTAATTTTCTTTGACGAAATTGACGCTTTGTGTCCCAAACGATCGGAAGGTGATAATTCGTCAACATCGAGGGTAGTCAATCAAATGCTAACCGAAATGGATGGAATCGAGGGAAGGAAAGGTGTATTCGTGATGGCTGCCAGTAATCGGCCGGACATTATTGACCCAGCCATTTTGAGGCCCGGTCGTTTAGATAAAATTTTATACGTAGGATTACCATCGTCTTCTGATAGAGAGGATATTTTACGTGCCGTCACAAAGGTAGAATTTTAATAATTAAAATATAATTATAAATTCTATTTTTATTTTCATAAATTCTCCCTTTCTTCTCGATTTTTACAATTTTATGAAAAAATTTCCCCCTTTCAGAATGGAACAAAACCAAAATTAGCCGCAGATGTAAGTCTATTCCAAGTAGCTCAGGATAGTCGATGTGAAAGATATACGGGAGCTGATTTAGCAGCTTTAATGCGCGAGGCAGGAGTTCAAGCTTTAACAGAATTAATGTCGAATCCTTCGCAAGTTCCCGAAGTTTGTCAGAGGCATGTGAATATTGCTTTCACTAAAGTAATGCCATCGGTTCAAGAGAACGTGAGTAATTTTATTTTTTTTTTCAAACAAAAGAATCTAAAGAAAAGTTAATTCAATATTATAATTTAATTTAGTATTTTAAAAGAAAAAGATTTTTAAAAAAATAAGTTTTTAAAACTAAATATTTGTATTTTTAAATAAATAAATAATAAATTGTTTTCATTCCATTTCAGGATATTCAGCATTATGAAAAACTAAAGTCAAGATACGCTGTGACATTTAGTGATATGGACGATACACCAATGGATATTCCTGTTGATTCATTAAATGAAAATTCGTGGAAGCCAAACAGACCAGAAAGGAAGTAATTTAAAGAAATTTTCTTTTCCATTCAAAGACTACCATCCTTTGAAATTAATAACATTCATCACTGACACTGAGAAAAAAAGATTTTTTTTTTATCTCTAAAAGAGTTTCAACATTAGATTACTTTTATTTTTTTATTGTTGTAATTATTAAGTGACATTAAAGAAGAAATTTTTTTTTGTTTTTTTCGTAAATTTTGTTCATTTATTTTTTAGAATAGTCTCAAAAAAAAAAATTACAAATCTGTTTAAATAATGAAAATATAATTTAAGATTGTTCTCAAAGTTTATTAAAAAGATCGCCTCAACCTCCATGAATCAAAAATTAAAGAAAAAAAAATTGATTTAAAGGATGGTAGAGCTGGTATTAAAAATATGATTAAGTCACTGTATAATGTTTGTAAGTCATTAAGCCTACATTTTAAGCACGTTTAAAGAATTTTTTTTCACACATGCAATGATTCTCTTTTAAAGTACAATTAAATAGTATTCACCAAGTTCTTGTAAACTTATTTTTCATTTAGATTTACATAAAGAATAATCATGATTTATAGATTTATAATTTCTAGTTTATAAATTCACAATTTTCATGATTCTCTAATTGAGATTTCTGTTGTTTCTTAGAAGAAGATGATTAAAGAAAAACTGCACTTTTAGCAGCAAAAAAAATATGGTGTAATAAAATAATTTTAAAAAAGCAATGCCAAAAAAAAGTTTACCACAATTTTTCCCGTAATTTTTTTTTCCTTTTTTTTTGGAAAACATTTATTTAGTATTAAGAGTTTTTTTTTTCTAAAATTGTATACTCTTTTCACTGAATTCGATTGTTGGAAATTTGTATCTGGAGTGAAAAATTGCACGTGTCAAAAAATATATCAAAATTACTATTTGCTTGGTAATTTTTCATGAAAGGCATTTATTTGTAAAGAAAAAGAGAATAGATACAATAGTCTTCCTCTACTCCGTATAAATTGTTTGTTCTACAATATTAGATGATTATTTATCACTGTCTTATATTATGAATTTTTTGCAATAGTAAAGAAAGACTCGGAAAGAATATTTTGAGTTTTCATTTATTGTTTTTGCAATTTATTATTAAAAGAAAATGAATAAAATGACATTTTGCAGTAAAATTATATGCAATTATTATTTCTGTTTTTGAAAAACAGTTGAAAGAAAAAAATTTATTATTCAAAACCAGCATAATTTAGAATTAAAAAAATTGAAAAAAAATCAAAAATCTCGATTTTTATTAATAATAATAATCAGAGTTGCCACAGGTCAGGGAAATCAGGAAATTTAGGGAAAAGTCAGGGAAAGTAGAATTGGTCAGGGAAGTCAGGGAAAATTCAGGGATTTTTATTAAAAGTACTGCAAAAAATTAAATTTTTAGAATTCATATGAAAATTCTGAATTTTTGTATTTTTTATGTTTGCCTCATAAACTATAAAATTGCAAAGAAACCTTCAATTTTTTTCTATTTCTGACAATTTTTACAGGAGTTGCTTAAAAAATGTAATTATTCTTAAAATTTTAATTTCAATTCCTCGAAAAAATCAATTATTTAAAAAAAATGTTTTTTTTAAATTTTTTTGAAGAATTTAATTATTTACAAAAATATTAATTATTAATAAAATTGTTCGAAAGAAAGCAATTATTTACATAAATAATTCTTCAAAAGAATTCAATTATGTCGACAAATAACAAAATTGTTCCTGAAAATTCAATATTATTTTGAGGCATTTAATTAAAATTCTTTGCAAAATTCAATTGTTTTCATAAATAACAATATTCATCACAATAATTCAATTATTTTTAAAAGTAATAAATTTCTTCTTGGAAATTCAATTATTTTTAAAAGTAATAAATTTCTACTTCGAAATTCAATTATTTTACAAAAATTCTCGATAAATTTTCAATTATCTTTATAAATAATAAAATTCTTCTCCGAAATTCAATTATTTTCAAAAAATTTAATAAATTTCTTGGCAAAATTTCAATTATTTTCAAAAATTTTCCTCAATTCAATGATTTTCAAATATCTACTAATTTAATAAAATTTTCCAAAAGAATTCAATTATTTAAAACAAACTTTGATAAAATTCAACGAAAACATTTAATTATTTTCATAAATAATAAAAATATCACAGGAATTCAATTATTTACAAAGAATTAAATTATTTTCAAATTTGTTAGAAATTTCTTCGTAATAATTCCATTATTTTCATAAATTATACAATTTTTTACAGAGATTTAATTATTTTCGCAAATAATAAAAATATCACAGGAATTCAATTATTTACAAAGAATTCAATTATTTTCAAATTTGTTAGAAATTTCTTCGTAATAATTCCATTATTTTCATAAATTATACAATTTTTTACAGAGATTTAATTATTTTCGCAAATAATAAAATTTTTTTAGGAATTCAATTATTTTCATAAATAATAAAATTCATAGCAGAATTTCAATTATTTTTAATACAATTTTAATCGAATTCCTCGAAAAAATGTAATTATTCTTAAAAATTTTATTAAAATTCGTCGAAAGAATTGAATGATTTAAAAATTTGTTGATAAAATTGTTTATAAAAATTCAATTTTGAAAAACATTCAATTATTCAATAAATCATTTATTTTTGTATTTAGTTGATTGTAAAATAAAGAAAGAAATAATTAAATTCTCGTAGAATTTTCTAATAAATATTGATTAAAAAATTAATTTCAGATAAAATTTTAGATAATAATTGAACATTAAAAGCATTACAGCGTAAATTTTTAAAAATATTTCTATTTTGAAAAGGTTTTAAATTAAAATCTGAAAATCTAAACTTTTTAAATTTTAACAATTCTGCAGAATTATTTTTTTTCAAAAAGTTTAACTGAATTTTTTTTAAAAATTATTTCATGCTTTTATTTTATAATATATAAGTAATTGAAGAGTTTTTGAATAAACTAAATTTCGTGTAAAATTGAACTGTAAACAAATGGATTTGGAAATTATTAAAAAACTTTTTCAAAAATTATTTAAAATAATTGATTTAAAGAAAAATGTTAGTTAAAAATTCTAAAAAAATAATAATTGAATTGAATTGATGAAAATAATTTTGAAGAAGTTACAGTAATAATATTTTTTTATAATATAAAATAATGATTTTATCACTCGGTCATATTTAATTATTATAAAATGCAAAGAAATTGATTTATAAATTTGAAATTTTTGAAAATCTTAATTTCTGTGGAAAAATTATAATGATTAGGTAAATATTTAAAAAAAAAGAAGTTATTGTTGTTTTCGAATAATTTTTCAATTACAGAAATTCGTAAATAAATGTAATAGAACATTTTTGTTTAGTATTTAATAATTTTAAGAGTGAATCGCAGAATATTCTTTAGGGTCCGGGAAAAAGACAAAATATTGTCTGGAAATCAAGGAAAAGTCAGGGAAATAATAATTAATAATTATTATTAATAAATAATAATAATAATATTGAATTGAGAAAAAAGAAGAGTATTTGAATTAGTAAAACTATTTTTATTGTTTTCATTTTTTTTTTTTACTATTTACATTATCGTGTGTGTAACGCTGATTGTAATGAACTTTTTTTTTTGTGGAAAATAAGGCAAACGAATGATTTTTATAATTCGGTATGATGGGAAGGGAACTTTTTCAAAACCGCATGATATAAGTTATAAAAGGCATAAAAACTAACACTCAAAATAACAATTAGAGCACAGCCAAAAATCCATGAGAGAAAATTGCCGTCAATTATATCAGAGGTTTCTTTTCGTTTCTTTGCACTGAGATCGCCTAATGTCGTTCCTTTTCGTTCTTCCATTAATTTTCTCATATTCGATAATTTTTCTCGCAGTTCATCAACTGATTCTGTCATATCGTCCATTCCATCATCGCTTGGCACATTTCCTAAAACTGAATTTTTTTTTATTATTTATTTTATCCATAAAAATAAATTTACTAGTTGTGGAATTCTATTTTATTCCGAATTTATTTTCATCACTTTTACCAGAATTTCCATTATTATTTCGATCTTTATAATTATTAACGATTCTTTTATTTCATTGAATTTAAGCTTTTCTTCTTTAAAATTATTTTACAGCAACAAAATTTAAATTTAAATTATATTACAACAAATAAGATTTTTAGAAAAGAATTTATTTTTTTGTGAATTATTTCGGAAGTGTTTTGAATAGTTTTGACACTTACACACTACACATAGTTTTTAAATAATAATTTTCGAAGAAACATTTACTATATTTGATAATTTGATATATTTAAATAATTTGATTTATGGAAATTGTTTTTTTAAAAAAGTTATTATTTTTACCTGTAGCGTCTGGCACGTAATTATTTCCTGGTATTTTCATGATAACAATCTAGTGTTTCCCTTTTCAATATGATCTTAAAAATGACTCATGAAACACTATTGATCAGTCAGCATCCCACAGGATAAGTAATTCATACATTTGCGCAGTCTCAACACTAGAAAATAATAGAATCCTTCGAGTCTAGGAAATTTTATAGATTTTTCATGATTCTTACCATTCTTACTATATTTTAGTTTATCGACATAATTTCGATACAATTTACATTATGTTAATTTCTATATTTTAAGGAAGAAAACGAAATATTCTTATTTATAAACTTTATAAATATTAAAAAAGAAACATTTTGAATTAATTGTCATTAAAACAATAAACAATTATTATTTGCTATCGATTGTTATAAACGTTATAAACACAATAAATAATTGAAAAATTGTAGCTTTTAGGAGTTATTGATTTTAGTTATTTTTAGTTATTGATTTTTTCCATTTTTACCATATTTTATGATTTCAATTTTAGAAAATTGGTACTATTTCTTTAATTGTTCGTGTGTAATTGTTTATTAATTATTTCACAAGTTTTTGACAATAGAAACATTTTTAACAAATGTTATTAGTATTTTTGGTCTTTTTTATGTTTTGTTGACTGTTTACATTTTACAAATTTACACAGAATTAGATGTCGTTAGGTGTATTTTCTCATTTTAAAAAGTATTTCCAAAATATTTCACTGTATGAGTCTCCACTGTATTCCATGTTGCAAAGCATTCATTGGTCATTTCAAATTTACGTGGAAGATTTTGGAAGTTTTCGAAAATGCACACAGCGCCATAAACCGGGAACTAATAAAATTATTTCAACGATGAAAGCTATTATTGCTATTAGTCTTGTACGTCTTGTATGTACAATAATTATTTTGAAATACTAAAAAAAATTAAAAAGGAAAAAAAAACCATCTAGTTGTAAATTTTTATTATTAAAATGCGTCTAACTTTTGTTAACTTCCTAAATAAAGTGAGACCACATGGAAAACTGTTTAGAGGGTGAGTCCTTTTAATATAACCTCAAAATTACATCATTATCAAAATTGTAAGATTTAATCAATTTTATTTAAAAACATTTAGTTTATTTATGATTTATTTACTAAAACTCTTAGTTTTTACTCTGTCTAGAATTATTTTCATACAAATTTCTCAAATTTTAGTTAACTTTTCCAAAATGTCATCAATTTTTTTTTCTCATTCAAAAAATGAAATTGTTTTTATAAATTTAAATATACAAAAATAAAAAGCAAAAAGTGATAAAAATGAAAAGCAAAATTGAAAGTGATAAGAAATTAATTATGTGAGGTTTAATTTTATTCATGAAACGCTTTTTTCTCGTTAAATTTAGAAAAAATCGAAAAGTAAGGCAAATTACTTTCAAGGAAATGATTGATATGAAAAATGATTTTGAAAGAGAAGAAAGAAATTTACTCCTTCTACGACATCCATATTTAACACTGGAACAAACAGATGGTTATATGAAGGAAATAAGATCATTGCAACCACAACCAATTCCACTTGTAGGAAAACTTAGAGACATTAAATTTACCAGAAGATATTCCTATGAAGATGCACTGTGTCACTTAAAAGTAAAAGAAGCATGGGATTAATATAAAAAATTTCAACTTCAACTTTATTTGTTATTCTTCAATGTACATTTATTATCTTTGTAACAGTTAATATACACATAAAAATAATATTTCTTTATTTTATTTATACTTTCGTAATACTTTCACAAATTTTGAATTTTCCTTTAGACGCAATTTTCTTTTCATACAAAATCAAAAATACTTGAAGGAAAATATTAATCTTCATCACTCGAGCTTTCTCGAAGCAATTGTAAGGTTGTTCGCAAATAATTATCTAAATTGCTGTAAATTAATGTTAAATTAGCTTTATTTCAAGTGTAATTTTATATTTTTAATTATTAATTATTAATTACATTACAATGGCAGGAGAAAGCGAAAATATTTAACAAGTTTCGAGTATTTAAATAAAAGGCAGTTTGTAGCTGTTGTAGAAACGAGTTGAGTAGCACGACAAGATTTCTGTGCAAAAGCTATAGTATGATATTGTCGATATTGATTCCCCATATTTGGTCCGATCCTAAAAGTGTGAATAAGATCTCAAAACATAAAAAAATATTTCTTCTCTGCTACAAACAAAAACTGTTAGAAAACTTCTATGTAGTTAAATACAAGCTGCCTTTAATTAAATGATAATATATTAAAAATCTCAATAATTAATACTGAAGACCGGAACGTTTCTCAACACTTAAAATTTTTGCATGCGAATACAAAATAAATACGAATTTAATATTGGAAGCCTTACGACTTCGTGTCGGGAAGAGGAATATTCGTTTTCTCTGGCTCTTGGGACGGGAGCATATCCTTCGGGAGATTTCTCATCCATCCTGTTGGATTACTTTCAACCTCTTCCTTTGTTAAAATCTTTCCCTCGTAGAGTAAATTTGCAAAGTCTGAAACAATTGGATCTCTTCCAACGCTACTCATTGCTATTACTTTATCGTCCTTGAAGTAGTAGGCGAAGAACTTGAAGTCCTCCAAGGAACCGTGCACTTTGTAACTGTCGGGACGTCCATAGCCTGCAAAAAATTAAATACAATTAAATAAATAATTATTATTAATAAAAAAACAATTTTGGGACTTTTGCCATTTTTGAAAATAAATGAAAATTATTTTCAACTACTTGCCTGCGTATCGATAACCTTTGCCAAATAGAGTCGTCCAAAAGAAAGGAACAGAATTCAGAGGGGTTTCCTTATTGCAAATATTGAAAGCAGCAATTCTTCCATGATAATGAGCTAACGAGTAGTGACCAATTGCTGCTGAGGTATTAAATACACTTAATGGAGCATAGGCAATGTCTCCTCCTGCGTAAACATTTTCTACGTTTGTCTTTAAGTACTGCAATCAAAAATTGTGGTAATTTAATAATTACATTAGCAAAAAAAAATTTGGGCGGGTTGTTTCTTCCTTCGTGACACTATATTTCTTAATATCACTATTTTCAAAAACTTTAATAATAAAATTTTTTGCAGGAATTCAATTGTTTTCAATACAATTTCAATAAAATTTCTCAAAAGAATTCAATTATTTGTAAAAATTCGATAAAATTCTTCGCAAGAATTCAATTATGTATTTTGAGAAAATTTTGATTAAATTCTTTATGAGAATTGAAATATTTTCTATATAATTTTAATTAAATTCCTAAAAAAAAAAAAAATTCAGAATTAATTTCGAAAATTCTAATCAAATTATTAACAAGATTTCAATTATTTCCACAATTTATAAAATTTTTCGCAGAAATTTCATTGTTTTGAAAAATTGCAATACAAATCTTTAAATAAAAATGAAATTTAATTAAACTCTTTGAAAGAATTTAATTCTTTTTCTAAATAATAAAATTTTTCGAAGAAATTCGATTATTTTAAAAAATGTTGATAAAATTATTTATGAAAATTGAATTATTTTTATAATTTATCAAATTCTTCGTAGGAATTTCATTATTTTAAAGAATTTTAATAAAATTCTTTGCAAAAATTTTATTATTTTGAAAAATTTCAATACAAATCTTTATAAAAAAAAAAAAATAATTAAACTCTTTGAAAGAATTTAATTCTTTTCCTAAATAATAAAATTTTTCGAGGAAATTCAATTATTTTGAAAAATTTTGATAAAATTATTTATGGGAGTTGAATTATTTTTGTAATTAATCAAATTCTTCGCAGGAATTTCATTAATTGGAAAAATTTTGATAAAATTATTTATGAGAATTGAATTATTTTTGTAATTAATCAAATTTTTCGCAGGAATTCAATTATTTTAAATAATTTTAATAAAACTCTTCGTAAAAATTTTAATATTTGAGTAAATCTCAATAAAATTATTTATAAGAAAAAAAATTAATTAAACACTTTGAAAAAATTGAATTATTTTCCTAAGCAATAAAATTCTTCGCAGAAATTCAATTATTTTGAAAAATTTGGTGAAATTCTTTATTATCAGAATTCACTTTTTTTAAATACAATTTCCATAAAATTCTTGCTAAGAATTTAATTGTTTAGGGGCCATCCACATATTACGTCACACTATTTCTGGTCATTTTTGACCCCCCCATCCCCCATGTCACACTCTATTACATACATTAGCGCCATTTTTTCTGCAGGGTGTCACAAATTGTTTGACCCCCCCCCCCTTCCCCTTAAAGTGTGACGTAATATGTGGATAGCCCCTTACATAATCAAAATTTTTTTCCGAAAGATTGAAAAATTTTGGAATAATCGAAACATCGTAAAATTTAATTGAAATCAATTGAATTTTATACGTATTTTAAACAAAATTTCCCTTTTTTTCAAAATAATTTAATTCTCAAAAAACTTGATGAAAATTAGTAAAGATAATAATTGGTTTAGAGAAGCTTTTAATTAAAAAATTCTTATCTGGAAAATAATTGAATTTTGGAAGAATAATTAAATTTCAAAAGATTTAAAATTGTAATTCTTAAAAATCTAAATTATTGGGAAAACTTAAATAACAATAGTTATTGAAAATAAAATTTGAAAATCATTAAATTTCAAGTGTCAAAAATTAAAAAAATAAAAGCATACGCAAAAATGAATAATGACAGAATGAATGAAGGACAGAATGAATTCGACGATTATTACAAAAGATAATAATAATAATTAAGATACAAATCTTTTGAGGAAATAATATTATACCTTATCAACTTCTAGAGTTCCATTATCCAACATTTTTATCGAAGATTCTTTGAGCCACTCGGTATTAAAGAATGATCCAATCCCTATTATCGCAATGTCCGCTGGCAAAATGCTCCCATCTTGCATTTCAATTTGACTTAATGTTTTGCAATCATTATCATTGCCTATATACTTCTCGACACTATTTTTAAAAATGAACTTTATTCCTAAAAAAGAAGTTTTGAAAATTATTTTTTCTTTTACGACAAACGTGATAATAAAAGAATAATAAGAAGAAGAACAATTGTAATTTAAAATACTGAATGATATTAAAAATTAGTAATTATATCTAATACATTTTTATTTCTTTCGAAATAAAAAAAGGATTTGATGTCTATTTGAGACAATTTTTGAACCAACCTTTTGTTTCAAATTCACGTTTAACTCTTTCTCCGATTTCAGCACCAAAAACTGGTTCCAAAGGAACAGATTCCCTTCCAATTACAGTAACTGAGGCACATTTGCCAATACAATAAGCAGCTGCCTCCATTCCAATGAAACTTGTTCCCAAAATTATGACATGCTTTTCAGGCGACAATTGTTTATGAATATTATTTGCGTCCGTGTAATTTCGAAGGTAGAAAATATTTTTCAAATCAATTCCTGGAGTTTCTGGTACTCGTGGCCGACAACCAGTTGAGATGAATAAATGTTTATAATTTATCTCCTCTCCTTGACACAGTTTCACCATTTTCCGCTCTGTGTCTAGGGCTAAATATAACGAAAAAATAATGACAATTTAGAATTATTATTTCACGTAAATTATTTATCCTTTTTATTTTTTCAAAACTAATCGATGATTAGATTAAATTTTCACCTGTTGCTGCGAGACCGAGACGTGTTTCGATTTTGTATTCATCGTAGAACATTTGCGGTCTCAAGAGAATGTTATCCACATTCAAATCCATAATTTTCGAGACTTTAATACGATCGTATGGCAAGGAATTTTCTTTACAAATCATAATGATTCGTCCGGTGAAACCTTCTTGACGTAAAGTTTCAGCGCAAGTTGCACCAGCTGGTCCTCCACCAATTATGAGGGCAGTATTCGAATTATCGATATTAAAGGGGCATATTTCCTTTGTACGTCGATTAACCTCCAGGTCTTTGCGCTTTGCTCGTACTCGCACATTTCCATTGTCATTCACGCTCACCTGGGAAATAAATTTTTTTTAGTAAATAAATTCGTATAGTAGATAAATTTTTATTGAAAACAATTTTGTATTGTAAATAAAATAAATTGTATTGTAAACAACATAGAACTATATATATAAATATATGTAAATAATATAAATAAAAAGTTATAAGTTTTAAATAAATAAATAAATGAAATTGTATAGCAAATAAAATAGCAAACAAATTTCACTACTTCTAGCAATTTAGTTTATGGGTGTTTTTTTGTTTCTAAATTTTATTAATTTACCTGATAGCAAGGTAGGGAATCAAGTCCAGGATAATCTTCAATGTCTCCTGTTTTAATATTAAAACAAGCCCCGTGCCATGGACATCTTACTCTACCTTCTCCTAGAGCTCCAGTGTGCAATAATGCTCCATAATGTGTGCATTTTGTACCGATTGCATGAAGTTCTCCTTTTTGTTTAATGAGTAAAATTTTTCCACCATCCTCTCCAAGTGGCAATGTTTTCATTTCATTTTCCTTGATATCATCCTCGTTGCACACCACGCCTTCAATGTAGTCATTGTTCTCCGATTTACCTACCAAAAGGAAAGAAAAGTAAGCGCACTTTTATTTTAAAATAAAAATAAATATATTAACAAAAACTATTATTTACTTATAAATTAAAAATAAAAGTTATGTTTTAATTACATTTATGAAATGATCAAGAACTTACAGGAACAACAACAATTTGCAATATTGAATTTCTTATTGTTAGATGTTAATTTTTTTGCTTTTTTATTGCAATGACCACATATTTGACTATTTCCGAAACGAGACATTATTAAGATTCTAATAATTGAAGAGAATAATTTTAATAATTAGAAAGTAAAATTTCATAAAATAACAAATTCCTAACCTTGAAAATTTTCTATTTTTAAACGTTTCTTAATACTTAAAAAATCACGATCCTTTAAAATAATTTGTTAAATAAATAATAATGAATTGTTAATGAAATAATAGCACCTAAATAAATACCTGTCATTTTCTCTCGAATACAAAATTATTCGTTATAATCGTTATAATTTACCGTGCGATGAAACACTGGCAAATATTATCGACTTATTTTTACGAATTATAATTTTTCCGTTTTATCGAAGAAATGTAAAAAAGTAATTACTGTTCTTTTATTATTAAGTCTAATGAAAAATTATTTATTTATTAAGTAAAAAGAATTTAATTTAAACAATTATTCGGATGCAAAACTTTTGACAACACGAACGCACTGTTTTGATATTTTGACGGTTTTGACTTTTTGAGGTTATGTCTGATAAACGTGTTAAACGTCAAATTGTTGCGTGCGGTCCGGGGCTCCGGACGGTCAAGGGTTAAAGAGTAAAGCAGAGTAAAGTGTTTTCAAAAACAAAACAAACCCTTTTCGAAGAAAAAGTTTATTACTTTCTATATATGCATAAAGTCAAATAGGAAAATTAATTTTCAAGTTTCTCAAAAGTATTTCGAAAAGTCGGAGTAATTATCAGTTGCAGATTCACTTTTCATGGCGATCGATAGTTTTCAAATTTATTTTCTCAAAATATACTTGCTTTCAACAAAGTAAAGGTTTTATTATACTCTTATTAACTGATTATAGTTTAGTTTTGAACCAAGTAAAATATTTTTATTTACAAATCATGTTATGAGACTGTCAAGTGCAATGTTCAGTGCGTTCAGTGTTTTATTGTGCATTGTTTCCAAGAATTTCAATCCGTAATTGGAATCCTATTGATTTATATTATCACGGTTCAAAGCTTGAAGGTAAGACATTTTTTTTATTATAAAACAAACAATAAGTATTCTTTCTATTTATTCATTTTTCAAAATACATAAAAATGTTTATATACACTTAGAAACCGGTAATTGATTTTGAAAACAAAAAAGTATCAAAAGACGAATTTTTTATTTAATTTTCATTTGAAAATGTTTATAAATAATCCGTTTTTAGTTGTATACGATTAACATTCAATTTATCGATTCTCTCTTTTTAATAATTATTTCTTTCAAAGAAAATAAATTGAGGCGAATTTCTTGCAAAAAATAAAATGTTTCCTCTGAAACATGCAATTGTTTGTCCTTTGCAGAAAATTAATAACATTATGTAATAGTAAACAATTTATTTACCTGAACTCGAAGATGATTTACTTCTGATTACCGATCGTGGAGAAAAACTTTTGCAATTACTTCCGCCCATCTTCTTTATTTATCTCGAATTTATTATATTCAGATAGACATGTGGAATATTTCCCAATCTTTCAAATAATAAAATATAATTTTTAAAGATAAATTTAACAGATAAATTGAAGTATATACGTGAGAGATATTTATGCCTCTATATCCTTGATCTACAAACGTGATAATAACCTTTTTTTTCTAATTAACATTTTATTAAAAAATAAAATTTTGGAAAAAACTGAAAGTATTGTTTCTAAATGTTTAATAATTTAGTATTCAATTTATAATTTATTTACAAATTTATTAAGGTCCTTGAAAAAATACTAGAATTTACATATTTATTAAATTATTAATTTATTTATTTTCGACTTATAATAAAAATAACAAAATCAGGACTCAAATCTAGTTTTAGAAAACGAGTTTATCTTGAAACATTTTTAATTTTGTTGTTTTTTTCAAGAGTAATTAATTTTTTATTAAAACAATTTATTTTAATTTTAAAAGAATTTTCAAGAAACTTAATTTATTAATTTTGAAATTAAATCATTTTCTGTTCGATAAGATAAAAAGAAAGGGAGAAAGTTATGTTTCCTTCTCACAATCACGTAATTATTTAAAAATAGAACTTTTTTGAAAAAGGAAAAAATCAAGTTGCAGACAATTTTTTGTATTTTACACACGCATTTACCTTTTCATTCACTTTGTCACACCGCGAAATACGCAGACAAACTGAATCCAGTTGTCGATTCATTTCTTTAAAAGTGAAAGGAATGAGAGGGGGATTTATATATACTATAGTTATATACAAACACTTGTATCTTTCGCTTAAGGAATCTTAATAATCGTCACATTTTAAAAGGACAACCAATTAAAAAATGTAATAGCATGTGCACTATGCAATGAATAAATATTGATATAAAAATAGATTACCAAAACAAATAGTTAGATATTACTTGTAGAATTTGTTCAAGACTTTCTTATATTCGCTTCTACTTCCTTGATTTCACATAAACTTTCTTTCAATTACTAATTACATAGGGAAATATCGATATTCAATAGAATTTAAAAAGATGATTGAAACTTTTTTTTTTGTTCGTAAAATGTAGAACATTGTTACTTTCAAGGATAAATAGGCTTTTTCTCTCAGAAACATATTAAATGATTCATCATTTTCAGAGATAATATAAGTTAATATAAGCAAAAATTTTAACTGTAGAACAAATGTTATGAAATGAAATTCATTTTTAAAATTTTTAATTATCAAAAAATTTGATAATAGAATTCATTCGATAAATTATATTCTTTAGGATAATAATTGAATTCTCGCGAAGAATTTTGTTAATATTTTTGAAAATTCGAATTGAATTCTTTTTAAAGAATGTTTTTAATTTTTTTGAAATAATGGAGTTTCTTTAATAATTTGAATTGAGAATTTTGAAAATAATTGAATTTTATGAACAATTTCTTTCAAGTTTTTAAAACTGAATTGAATTAAGAAAAAAAATTGAACTCTTTCCTGGGATTTATTTAAAAAAAATAGTTGAATTTTAACCAAGAATTTTACTATTTATAAATATAATTGAATTTTTTCGAAAAATTTATTTAAATTTTAGAAAATAATTGAATTTTTTAAAAATATTTTATAACGAATTAAGAAAAAAATTGAAATCTTTCGTGGAAATATTTTGAAAATAATTTAATTTTTGCAAAGAATTTAACTGTTTAAAAAAATAATTGAATTGTTTCGAATTGAATTGTTTTTGAAATTATTATTAAACAAGAATAATTAAATAGTAAATTACTTAATAATTGAATTTTTTTGAAGTTTGAATCGGAAATTATTCAAAAATTCATATTTGAAAATAAAAAATTTTGCAATTATCATAATTTATTTATAATTTTCTTACACACAAAATTAAAAGTAGTTGTTTTTAATTGGGTATGTACAAAAATATATTCTATTTGGAAAAAATACGTTAGTTTACAATCGAAAATTTCTATTTAAATTTTCAAGTATTTTTGTAAAAAAAAAAAATGAAAATGTTTTGCACAATATTCGATCAATAATTGTAAACATCACATTTTATTCTTTTCTGTATAAAAAAAATAGTTCTTTTTCAATCGTTGAATAAAAAAAGTCGTGAACTTTACCGATGTGAAAAATAACAATTTTTTCAACAAGTTCATTTTTAACGATTAAAAATATTTTTCTATTTAATTTTTTATACGTATTTTTCTATTTCTATAAAAATGTATAATTTTCCATCACATTTGAAAGACATTTTCATTAATAATTTAAACGAGAAAATTTTTTTAAACAAAAGGTTGAAAAATATTTTTTTTCTCTCTTAATCGTTGATGATAAACATTAAAATTTGTTATTCTTTCTGAGCGGCAAGTGCTTCACATTCTCTTCTCCGCTCAGCAAGAATAGAATAGAAATTATCAAAAAATGTACACGCTCGTTTCTCTAAGTATTCCTTTCGCCTTTTTAACGAATCTTTTTTGTCTATTCTTTCGTCTAATTCCTTTTTCAACGACGCTAAATTTACACGCGACTCCTGCATTGATTCAATTTTCTCCTCTAATTTCTTGATATTGTCACGTATCTCGGCCTCCTCCAGTTTCGCCTGTTCTTTAATTTCATTAATTTTCACTTCTTTCTCCACTAATTCTCTAGCAAGATCCTCATTATTTTCTGTTATACTTTTCAATTTCTCTTGCAAATTTCCCAGTTCGTGATTATTTTCTTTGACTAATTTTTGCACATTTTCCAATTCTTTCTCCTTCTTGTCCTTTAGATTTGTTAGGGCTGATGACACGTGTTCTATGATATTTTTTGCTTCGGTGTACGCAATATTGTCCGGTATTTGAATTTCGGAAATATCAACACCTGGTATACCGGCGAGATTATAGTGAATGTCACGATTGTATTTTAAAATCGTTTTCGTTAGATTATGATTCGCCGATGATAATTTCATGTCACGGGAGTAAATGTCCTTTTGAATGTCCTCAAGATGAATGGATAATTCTTTGAGGAATTTTTTTATATCGTTACATTTGGCAATAATTTCGTCACGTTCGGCAGGTGTTATTGGTTGCATGGAAATTGTGGTCTTTAGTTTTTCTTGTAGAATGATATTTTTCTCGACGTCTTCTTCAAGTACGGAACAATCGCTTTCTATTATTTTATTTTCGTCGTTTAGTTTATCGATATGTTCGTTTTGTTCTATGAAATATTCGTCGATACTTTTACTGTCTTGCTTTAGATTCATTAAAATATCCTGTAATTGTTTTGTTTCTGAATCAATTTTCAATCGTAATTTGTCCTCTTCCTCGAGTTCTTCGATTTTATTTTCGTAATTTCGTGAAACTTGCTCGAATGTCTCGTCACTGACGTCGTGTCGTGTTTCTTCTTTTTGTAAAAATTGAGCGACAAGTGTCTCCTCGAGTTCGGCATTTTCATTCCATGCGACGTACCAATCGATCATTGAGAGAAATAGATTGCGATTTTTTTCGGCTGAATCGTTGACATTTGTGAAGGGGAGATTTTCTAGTGAAAATTGCTCTAAGGCGAGGTCTTTTATTTCGCAGAGTTCGACGAGCCAACTGAGCCATGCGAGGGCATTTGGTAAGGCGTGCATTGCATTTGCTGTTTTTAACCAAGCTTTTGACATTTGTCCTGGATAGTGTAATTTCTTGGCGATTTTTGGCATTTCCTCGACGTAATTGATGTTGTTTAGGGTGTGCTTCACACCGAGGAGTCCAACGAGCAGACCCGATACGTCGACGAACATTTTTATGCTCAAGGGTTTTAGACTACCGTTTGCATTGAGCATAGAACTTTGTTGAATTCGGTGAAAGTAATTGTCCACTTTTTTGAGCATTTGAAATTGAAAGGCCTTCTCTGCAATTGGTCTCGAGTCCTTGCGAGGTCCTTTTGATCCTGCCAGGAGGCTGGCACGTTCTGCGGATGGTGAACGAGTGTTCTTCGATGTTGACATCGATAACAATGTAGAACGTGAATAAGATTGTCTTTTTGGCGTCGCGAGTGCATGATGTCCTATTGAAACTTTTCCTAAAAATAAACATTAACGTTAATTATTTGAATTAACATTAAATATTTTAAGTATCTTCTAATTATTCAGGGTTCGAAGTTTTGAGCTAGGTCTGTAAATACCGCAATGGTCCGTAAATTTGCTTGAAGTCCATAAAAGTCATTTTTTTTTTAAAAAGGGCCGGAAAGTCCGTAATTCGATTGAGAAAAGACAAAAAGTTCGTAAATTATACGATATAGTTTGGAGAATTTTAGAGAAATTACAAATGATTGCAGAAATTCAATTATTTTCAAAAGTAATAAAATTCTTAGGAGAAATTAAATTATTTTTAATACAATTTTAATGACATTTCATAAAAGAATTCAATTTTTAAAAAGTTTAAAAAAAAATTTTTTTTTTTGACGAAAGAATTCAATTTTTTTTTAATTCGTTATAAAATTTTCAAAAGAATTTAAGTACCTAATTTTAATAATAAATTAATACAAATTACTTATTTTTTAGTAAAATTTACTTATTCAAAATACCAATTTTAATAATAAGAAACACGATTATTTTAAAAACTTGACAGAAATTGTTCATAAAATTCAATAATTTTAAAAATTTTTGATTAAAATTATTAAATTATTAAAATTTCAAAAGAATTCAATTATTTAAAAAAATTTTAATAAAATTCTACGCAAACATTTAATTATTCTCATAAAATAATAAAAATTTCATAAGTATTCAATTATTTACAAATTTTTTTATAAATTTTTTCGAAATAATTCAATTATTTTCATAAATAATAAAATTTTTACAAGGATTCAATTATTTTCGTAAATAAGAAAATTCTTTTTAGGAAGTCAATTATTTTTAATGCAATTTTAATCAAATTTCTCGAAAAATATAATTATTCTTAAAAATTTTATTAAAATTCGTCGAAAGAATTCATTTATTTAAAAATTTGTTGATAATAACAGTTCCCATTCTTTATGGGAACTGAATTTTAAAAAACATTCAATATTATTCAATAAATTACTTATTTTTGTATTTAAATAATTAAATTCTAGTTCTATCTAATAAAAATTAATTTAAAAATGAATTTCAGTTAAAATTTTATATATTAATTGAATATTAAAAGCAATATGGCGTGAATTTTTTAAAAAAATAATTAAATTTTGAAATTAATTTTTTTCTTAAAATGTTTAATTTGAATTTTTTATATTATTTTAAGTTTTTATTTTTTTGTTTATAGGTATTTAATTGTAGAATTTACGAATAATTGAAATTTCGTAAAATTGAATTTTGTAAACAAATTAATTTGAAAATTGTCAAAGAACTTTTTCGAAAATTATGAAAAATAATCGATTTAAAGAAGAATTTTAGTTAAAAATTGTTGTAAATAATAATTGAATTGATAATCATTTTATCACTTGGTCATCTGTAATTATTATAAAACATGAAGAAATTGATCACTCCGAGTCTTCGACTCGGAGTTATCGATGTCTTCATGTTTTATAGTTATGAAAAATTTAATTTATTAATTTTGTCAAAATTACAAAATTAAGCAAAAAATAAATGTTTGCAGATGAATTATCTCTTAAGTAATTGAGACATTAGTTTGTCATTCAAATAATTTAGATTTGAGCGATATTTGTATACATTTTAATTTTTTTCAATCAACTTCTTTTATCATTGTAAAATGTATAAAGAAAATACAATTTTACTATATAAATATAGTGAGATTTTTTAAAACTTGAAATGAAGAATAAAAAACGATTTTCAATAAGTAAACAATTCATTCCCCGCCAGTGGATTGAATACAACACCGGTGTAGGATGCTGTACAATGTATCCCGCCAACAGGATAAATAATGTATTTTCCTCGCTTGCGGAGTGAATAATCACAGGCGAATTTTAACTCTCAGTATTAAAGTGTTTAATTATTTTTACCTGTTTGCTTTAATAATGCTGACTTTCTGCCACTAAGTCGATCGGAGGATAAACTTCTTATTCGAGGTCGAGGAATGTGTGAACCTGCGTCCACTGACGAACCTCTGATTTTCAAAAGTTGTGTTGTTCTTCTGTTACTATCCGCTCCATTTGGCGGATTTGAGAGTGAACGTCGTTTCATTTTTTTTGTACAATATTTTCGTCAATTAATCCTCAACAATGTTTTGTCAGAGCATTTGACAACAACGACAACAATAACACATTTTCAAATTCGACCGTTGTTACACATGACATAACCTATGACTGTTTGACGTGTAGAGCGGCCATATGCACTGTGATTTTAACTCGCGACTGCAGCGCTCTCTGGAGTAGTTGCCACTTTTCGCGCCGTTTTTCAAATAAGACGAAATGTGCAAACTTTTCTTTTTATTTATTTTATTTTATATATCTTAAAAATTATTAAATTAATACTTTTTATTATAAATATAATAATAAATATCTACTTTTATTCAACTAAATTATTTCATTTTATCTAAAAACAAAGATTAGAATTTTGTTCTAGACATAATTTCAAAAAATATTTTTCAATAATTAAAATTAATTAATTATAATAATAATGAATAATTAATTAATTAATTAAAAATAAATGAATCGCAATTTTCACATTTGTTGGTAAATAATTTATTAAAGAATTAATTTTTGAAATTTTATTTATAAACAAATAGGTATTAAAATTTGTTTCAACATTTAATTTCAAAAAATAATTTTTAATAAAAATAAATAAAAGATTCATAATATTTATATTTTTTAGTAAATAATTTATTAATGAATTAGTTTCCGGAATTTTCAAAATTTATTTTAAACAAAGATTAAAATTTTTTTCAGTCATTTAAATTTCGAGAAATATTTTTTACAAGAATAAAAATAAATAAAAGAAGCGTAATTTTCATATTTGTTAGTAAATAATTTATTAAAACTTAAATTTATTTAAAAATTAATTTTCAAATTTTATTTAGAAACAAATAATAAAATTTGCTCCGATTTTTTATTTTCAAAAAATATTTCTCTATGAAAATAATAATAAATAAAAGAAGCGTAATTTTCACATTTTTTATTAAAAATTTGTTTCCGGAATTTTTAAATTTTATATAGAAACAAATATTTAAAAATAGTTTCAACATTTTAATTTAAAAAAAAAAATAATTTTGTACAAGAATAAAAATAAATAAAAGAAGCGTAATTTTCACATTTGTTAGTAAATAATTTACTAAGGAATAAATTTCCTTAATTTTCTAAATAAATTAAATTCTTTATCAATCAGAAGTGGTTTATTTACTTTAAATAGTAATTTATCTACTAAAAAAGTATGAATCTTAATTATTACTTCTCTTTACTTTCTTAAGTCAAATTTTTTATTTTATAATAAATATATATTGTCTTCATTAAAATTCTCAAATTAAATTATTTTAAATATCTAGACTAAATGATTCCAAAAAGAAATGATTCTAAAAATCGTTGTGATTTTCGAAATGATTTTTAAAAGAAACAGAATTAAGAAAGCAAACACTTAAAAAATGTCAAGAGTGTAAAAAAGAAACAACTCTATATCAATACGGTTTACTACTTCTTAACCCATTTATTTCTGTTTTAAATACAGAATTTTATTTAAGAAAAAATAGAAGATATAATATTGGGTTAAAATCATTCGGAATGAAATCATTCATAATAAAACGATGTGCAAACTGACATTTGATTGTTTCCACGAACAGCAAATTTCCACATTAAAATCAATGCATCATAGGGGCATATTCGCTTTAGACAAACTTATTGTGATTTTAACACACCAGTAAATCGATCTTAAATGTTATCAAAAAAGATGTTATAAAAAAAACAATATACAATATAATATATTATGTCTAATATTCTGCAGGAGATACAAACGTTTTTAAGTTAAAAACACACTCGAAGAACTTCTCCTTAATTCGTGACTTTTCAATTTTTTGTCGATAAAAAAAAATCTTACAATTTCAGGAAATTTAAAAATGTTCCCAAATCATGATTTTTTGAATCTTGTTTTTTTTTTGTTTATTATTGTTGGTTAAAATTTTTAATAACTGTTAAATATTAAAATTTTTTTTTTAAAAATGCTCAAGAAGAAGTAATTCTGGGTTTTAGTCTTAAAACGAGACAAAAGTAACAATAGTTTATAACAGTACACGACAATGATATAGGAATAATAATATAAAGCGCTAAAAGATTGAAACGCTTTGAAAATCTTTTTATAAATTTTCTTAAATGAATAATTGGAGAAAAATTGTCAACTATAAAATCAATGATATCAATGATTAATAAATGATATTAAAAATAATATTTAAAATTCTATTGGTAAGCAGAGAGGATAGTAATGAGATATTTAAAAAAAAAATGACGAAATGAGCAATTTTCTTGAAAAATTACTTCATAAAACCCTTGGCTTTAAAGAGATCTCTCATTAATCCTTTTAAATAACCAATTTCCCGTTGTAGATCCTTAACTTTTTCCTGCAGCTTTTCATTATGCTTGACGAGTTCCTGTTCTTCGCCGAGGATCTCTTTAATTTCTTGCTTCTTCTTTTGCCGATAGCGTGTGGCGGCATTCTTATTCTGTTCCTTCTTGCGCACTTTCTTATCTTCAACGCCAGCTTTCGAGTATGGCTTGCGCCTTGACTTTGACATACTAGACGGAGCTTTTCTCGTGTGATGATCACGATTATTCTCCATGATCCAATCGGGATCATCGATAGATTCCTCCGATGATGTGCAACTTGCACCGGAACTTGTGCATGGACTCGATGGTGACATATCTTCGACGCATGAGCGTACATATTCGTCGACGGCTGCTAATTCTCTTGCCACATCGCCTCCTAGTGGTTCTAATGAGAGATTTTCAGCATTCCACTGTTCTGAGATTTGATCAATGTAGGGTATTGATTTTTCCATGGGAATTGATTGTTGCTGTTGGTGTGATGGTTGATCGATGTTGTTTGTCTGTTGGCTAGGGTATATGAAGGCATTTTGCATTGGTTGGAGTGTAATGAGCAAATGGGCCTCATTAACTGGTTTTAATGGCTGTGCTTGTGGTGGTGGTGGTGATTGTGGAGGCGTCAAAGTTGAAATGACTGGTTGAGAGATCTGATAGTGACAGGCCTCCACATCTCCCATCACTGATTCGAATTCTTGCAGGAGACTCTGTGTTGTGTCCTGATGGTGAATTTTCTCCAAATTCGGATAGACAACAGCCTTGTTTTGACCGCATTCTGGACCCGGGAGTCCTTCGAATATCGGGAGATTGATCTTTTCCTCTAACCAATCTGAAAAAGGCTCTGTAACAAAAAAATAAAACAGAATTAATTACAATAGTCAATGAATTTTTTTTTTGATTGAAATGAATTTTGAAATTTATTTCACTAAAATTTTGAAGGTTCAACTGAACCAATTTTTTTTTGTTTTTACAATTTTAATAATTATAATTATTAAAATTGTAGAAACAAAAAAAATTGCTTATTATTATAATTATTATAATTATTATTCCGAATTGAATTTAATTAATTAAAGAAATTAAATTCAATATTTTTTTAGAGAATAATTTTATCAATACGGACTAAAAATGAAAAATTACGGACCGTACTGACAAAAATATAACCAGTCCGAGTCAAATAAGAGAACATTTTACTTAAAACTAGAAATTAAATTTTTCATTTACAATTCAATTATTATTTACAACAATTTTTAACTAAAATTCCTCTTTAAATCGATTATTTTTAATAATTTTCGAAAAAGTTCTTTGACAATTTTCAAATCCATTTCTTTACAAAGTTCAATTTTACGAAATTTCAATTATTTATAAATTCTTCAATTAAATAAATATTAGAAAACAAAAACTTCAAATAATATTAAAAAAATTCTATTAAACTTTTTCAAAAAAATTAATTTCAAAACTCAATTATTATTATCTAAAATTTTAACTGAAATTAATTTTTAAATCAATTTTTATTAGAAAATTCTACTAGAATTCAATTATTCAAATACAAAAAAAAACAATTCATTGAATATTTGCATGATTCTTAAAATTGAATTCTCATAAAAAATTTTATCAATAAATTTTTAAATAATTGAATTCTTTTGACGAATTTTAATAAAAATTTTAAGAATAATTATTATATTTTTCGAGGAATTTGATTAAAATTGCATTAAAAATAATTGAACTTCTGTTATGAGTATTATTATTTATGAAAATAATTGAATTTTTTCGAAGAAATTTAAATTTTTATTATTTTATGAAAATAATTAAATGCTTGCGTAGAATTTTATTAAATTTTTTTTTAATAATTGAATTCGTTTGGAAAATTCTATTAAAATAGTAGATATTAAAAATCATTGAATTGAGAAAAATTTTTGAAAATTGCCATAATGAATCGTTATCAACAAATTTTCAAAAAACTGAATTCTTTTGACGAATTTTAATCAAATTTTTAAGAATTTTTTCGAGGAATTCGAATAAAATTGTATTAACAATAATTGAAATTCTGCATCAATTATTTGTGAAAATAATTGAAACCGTAAAAAGAATTTTATTAATTTTTTACAATACTTAATTTTTGCAATAATTTGTAACTTTTACAAAATTGAATTTTTTTTCGTGTTTTTAACTAAACATCTTCTATAAGTCCATTATTTTTAATAATTTTTAAAAAAAGTTCTTTAAAAATTTTTCAAGTTTATTTGTTTACAATTCAATTATTTTACAAAATTTCAATTATTCGTAAATTCTTCAATTAAATATATATTAGAAAATAAAAACTTGAAATAATTTTTAAAAAAAACCGCAATTAAAGTTTCTCAAAAAAAATTAATTCCACAGAATTGTTAGTTAAAAATATGAAAAATTCAAATTTTCAAAGATTTTAATCTGAAACCTTTTCAAAATTCAATTATTTTTCAAAATTTACGCTCTAATGCTTTTAAAATTCAATTATAATCTAAAATTTTAACTGAAATCCATTTTTAAATCAATGTTTATGAGAAAATTTTACTAGAATTCAATTATTTAAATACAAAAATAATAATTTATTAAATAATTATACCTGTTTCTTAAAATTGGATTCTCATAAAGAATTTTATGTATAAATTTTTAAATAACTGAATTCTTTTGACGAAGTTTATTAAAATTTTTAAGAACTTCATTGAGGAATTCGATTATAATTGTATTAAAAATAATTGAAATTCTGCAATGAGTTATATTATTTATGAAAATAATTGAATTCCTAAAAAGAATTTTATTATCTACTAAAATAATTGAATCCCCGTAAAAAATTTATTATTTATGAAAATAATTGAAGGATACAAAGAAATTTATAAAAGAATTTGTAAATAATGAAATTCCTATGAAATTTTTATTAGTTTTTAAAAATAATTAAAAGTTTGTGTAGAATTTTATTAAATTCTTTTTTAAATAATTGAATTCTTTTGGAAAATTTTATGAAAATAGTAGATATTGAAAAAAAAATTGAATTGAGGAAAATTTTTGAAAATAATTGAATTTTGAAGATGAATTTAATTATTTCTAAAGATAATTGAAATTTTAATGAGAGTTTTTAAAAATTTTTGTGGATAATTAAATTTTTGCGAAGAATTTTATTACTTTTGAAAATAATTGAATTTCCGCAATCATTTATAATTTCTCTAAAATTATCCAAATTTCAATTTCAATATCAATTTACGAGTTTTTCATCCTTTTTGAATCACGGACTTTTACGGACCTAATTCGAGCCCTGCAATATATAAAAAAAGATTTTGTAATAAAATTAAGATTAAAAGTAGTATCAAGAATTCGTCGACCGAACTCTTTTGTAATTTTCGATTCGGTTCAGAAACGAAAATTCGAGAAAATAGAATTTGTAAAATTTCCGTAACGCTCACTTAAAACATGAAACGTAATTAAAATTGAAAGAATAATAACAAAATGATAATAAATATTAATAAAAGAAACAATAATAGAATAAGTGAAAAAAGGAGCTAATGAGATATTAGTTTATATATGTATATTTTTTCCAGTTTTGTTAGGAAACAAGAAATATAGAAATAAATACTTAGCATACATTTGTTTAAGAAATCTGCGTAGATCAGCATATTAAAGAATTGTCATAATTTAATCAATGATTCATCAACGATTCAGTTTAATTAAAATCGAGATATTGTGTGTTTTTTTTTGAGTATAAAAAAATAAAAAGTGTAAATTATATTCAAAATTATGCAATTAAAATGTATTTTTAATATATCGATCGTTTGTCCCTGGAATTGATTGATTTCAATAAAGGGATGAAAGTCAATTTTGATATTTAGTAAGAAAAATTTTCTCACATTGACGTCAGTGACTTAATTTTTACCTATTCTTTCAATTCTAGTTTAATTTCACATTATCAATTTTTTTTTATTTCGTAAATTATTTTTTCTTTAAAAAAAAATTTATTTTCTTGATTTTTCCATAAATGTTTTCCATTTTCAGACAAAATTTCCATTTCTTTTTTTTTAAATATATATCGCAGAAATTTATTTGAAATATATAACGCAGAAAAAAATGAGATTTTAATAAACAAACATTTAGTTGCATAAGGTTTTAAAGGATTACATCAACTATTGAATTTTTTTCATTTCACAAAAATTAAAATGACTTTTCAATTTCATCTTGAATTATTGTGAAATCTTCATAAGCATATTAGTCCATATAACAAGCTGACCGCCTTCTTGATATTAAATGCGTTTAATAAAAATTTTTATAAACTATTGCCATTATTTAAAAACATGAACACGTCGAGGAGAACTATTTTATTATTTATCAATAAGCTAATGAATAATAATAACGAATAAAACCTTGAAAGTATATAGTAGAATATCAACTAAGGATTTTCCTAGTTATAATTAAACGTTCAATTCAAGTATATTTAAGTATTGGAACTTTCCCCGCGCACGAGAATTAACTCTTTATTTCTATTCTTAGATTCATTTTTTTCTACAATAATTCTATTCTTCGCAAGGCGCTTGAGTGTGGAAAAAAATTTTCAATTATAAAATTAAGATTCAATAAACTTTCGTGTCAAAACAAAACAATTTCAATTAATTTTAATTAATTAAAACATTTCCATTCGGTTTTAAAAATTTTATTTTCTACTTTTGAAAAGAAAAAAAATTATAAAAAATTTATAAATTTAAAATTTGAATTTTGTAACAGAAAATATTATTTTTTGTGAATTTGGAAAATTAATTCCTTTCTTTATATCAAATTTATTTTAGTACCTAACTTTTGAAAATATTTAAATAGAAAAAAAATATTCGTTCATTTCAACTTCCAAAACTTAAAAATCATAATTTTTCTTTTCTTAATTTAAAAAATTAATTCCTTCCTCTAAATGTTGACTTTATTTCATTTTCAATTTTATTCTAACTTTTGAAAATATTTAAATGGAAAAAAAATAAAAAATATTCGTTCGTTTGAAAGTTTAAAACTTGTTGAAAATCGCAAATATTCTTTTTATTAACTTAGATAATTAATTCCTTTCTATTTATTATTTTATTTTCAATTTTATTCTACCAAGTTATGAAAATATTTAAGTGGAAAAAAAATTCATTCTTTTGAACGTTCAAAACTTGAAAATCGCAAATTTTTTTTTGTTTATTTAAAAAATTAATTCCTTTCTATAAAATGTTGAATTTTTTTTTTCAATTTTATTCTAGTAACTTTTGAAAATATTTAAATAAAAATAATATTCCCTCATTTGAACATTGAAAACTTTTCTTGAAAAATCGCAAATTATTTAATTAGTCGAAAATTTTGCCGAAAATAAAATAGTTTGAATTTTTGTTTTTTACGAATTAGATTTACGTCTTTTATGTATGTTTTGAGAAGTTTGCTTTAAAAAAATTTACATAACTAGTTAAGCTTTTGTTGATCATATAAAGAATTCGTAAACGTTATTAGACATAATTTTTTACGCAGTTGAAATGAAAATATACATAAATAATTATTTGCTTTTGTCTATAAAACATTTATTTAAACAACTCGTCAATTCAAATTTTTGTTTATAAAACACTTTAATTGTAAGTTTGAACTAATAAAAATAAATTGAAATTTAGAGTCGTTTTAATAAATTTCTGATAATTTCATAATACAATTTTGAATAATAATAATAATAAAATTTGAATAATTATTTTTTATTTATCAAATTTTTTCAGAAACTTCTCTCGTCAATCTTGATATTTCTCAGTAATGTGAAAAATAATAAAAGACAATATCGCTCGCAACTATATTATTGAAGTTCGATCTTGT